CCAGGACCTGCCCTGTACTCTGGCTATTACTAGCCTCCAGACTTTGGCCTATTCTCTCCCACCCCCAAATACTGCTCTTGTGTAGCCTCATGTGCCTCCTTCAACTGCTGCCCCCTTCCTATTCTTATTTGTCCCTTCCCACTCCTCTCCTCTTCTGCCACCTACTCCTACCCTCCTGTCCATCTCCCCACCTCTATTCCGGCATGTGCCCCTGCCTCTCTCTCCTTATTCCCATCTTAAACTTCTCAAAAATCTTCAATCTAAGGCAGACACTAAACATGGAAAAAACATAGTTATTAGACTGGACATTAGGAAGAACTTCTTCACAGTTCGAGTGGCCAGGGTCTGGAACGGGCTCCCAAGGGAGGTGGTGCTCTCCCCGACCCTGGGGGTCTTCAAGAGGAGGTTAGATATGCATCTGGCTGGGGTCATCTAAACCCAGCGCTCTTTCCTGCCTATGCAGGGGGTCGGACTCGATGATCTATTGAGGTCCCTTCCGACCCGAACATCTATGAATCTATGAATCTCCTAAGTAGTTAAAATCTGACCAAGTTAAGGGCAACTAAAAACAGATCACTTAAAAGAGCTGAACAATCTTAGCTCTAGATGTAGCTTCCTGTACCCATCTATAAATCACATGCACAACAGCATGCTGTCTCAGTAGCTCATATCCTATCCAACAAAAAATGCATACCGGATTGCTGACTATCTTTATTTTCTTCTTTCCTCCTTTCTGTTCATCTGCTAATCTCTTCTCATACTGAAGAGAGAGTGTTGACAGATGTTTTGCCTGGAAAGATAACATTAAGAGTTTTAATTTATTTCATTTCCCTTATTTCTGCCATTTTCTGCAAGTCTACTAACCCCCAGATTGATGTCACAAGCACCAGTCAAGTCAAAGTAGAGAGCCAGAGATGCATTTGGGTTCCTGACACAGAACTACTTCCAAGTATTCTCCAGGATGGGCATCTTGTGCAACCTACAGCAGTGAGTCTCAACCAGGGTGCCAGATAAAGCCAGAGTTTTCAAACAGGAATCCAGTGTTAAACAAAAAAAAAAAATCTGACCTCTCATTATCTTCCAGAGTTCTCTGCCACAGAAGAATTGTTGTAGTATTTTTCTGTAGTCAAAAAGAGTGAAAGCTAAGAGCTGGCATTTTCCTGAAGTCCACTGAGGGGTGCCTAGAGTCTAAAAAAGTTGAGAACCACTGACCTAGAGAGAGGACCGGATACCTGATAGTGAAGACATGAGCACTGGCAAAGTTCAAATGAAAACTAGCTGTGCTTTTTTTCTTTTCTCCCCTTTTGCAAACCATTTTATGCCACACAAAGTTCATGAGGAATATTTTGACTTGAAAGCAACTTTGCTATTTAAATATAACAATGAGCTGTGTCCAGGCAATGACAAAACATTATTAAACACTGTAAAAGGACATCTAGATACAAACAGACTGTATGACAAAGGGCTGAGTCCTAATGTAACAAAAATTACAAGAATATGTAATGCATCATCATCAAACCATTTCAGTGTGTCATATTTAACTTTATTTGTTCAGTTGACAATAGCAGGAAGCCTCAAAAATCAAATGAGCTGCTCTATGAAAGTGTTAATTTAAACAAAGTTTGATTTTAATGGTAAATGCTGATGTGGATTGATTTCCTCCCCAACTCAGTTTCCTCCTGGATAAGTGAACACCAACCAGGGCTCTGCCCCTGTGCAGAAACTAACCCTTTTAAAGTCAATGCGACCAGGGCTAGGTGGCAAAGACTGGTGGCTGATGTACTTCTGTGCTTCTGCTGTTGGTAGCCCTGGTTGACCTGCACTGGTAGTATAAAGATTCTGCAAAATTTCCAGAGAAATATCAGTCTGGGCTAGGCCCCAGAGGAGAAAGGATGGGAAGGGGAAGAGCCAAGAGTGGTGCAATATTCCACTTGCAGAAGACACTGATGATTGTACAAACCAGTGCCAACCAAATGAAGAACATCCAAGAGAGCAACACTGATGAAGCTGGGGGAGAACCCAACATTGCCAAACAGTTTCTACATTCTTTTGCAGAGAGCAGATATGCAAAGTGGTTCATTTCTTTGCTGCTTGCCCAAGAAGAGGATAACTGAGGACATGACAGACAGCGTGTATACAGAATGCTATCTATTATATTTGCACATTCAAAAGAGTGCTCTTCTCAAATCCCCTCTGCTTGTGGGTAACTGCCAAATGCTTCTCGCGTTTCTCTCCAATATCTCTGTTCATATCGTCTGCAAGATTTCCAGGTAGGAGAAAAGAGTACGCTCAAGAAATATTAACTTAGAGCTGGCCCCTGGTGTGCTTCCCCTTCAGAAGTGCAGTTGTTCTCATTTCCTAGCATGCACAGGAGGTAAAACCTAGGCATACCTGAACACGATAAATACAACCATAACACAGCACCGTTATTTATGTATTTAAATTAAACGATGGCACGTTGCAGAGTGAGACAGGCACACAGACAACCATAAGTCACTCTTGTTCAGGTGAAGCTGGATGGGTAGAAGAAAGCAGCACTACTCCACTTGGCTCCTGGACTGATGGTCACCATTCAGAACAGCATTGTGCCAAAGAAGCAATGCTGCTGAAGGCAGCACGTCCAGAAGCAACATCTCTGCATTAGAGAAAACGGATCAACGGCAGTAAAATCCTGTGTTGAAGTAATGGGCTCAGGGAGCATATTTCTTGTAGCGACGTCCAAGATGGCAAACCAGGCTGCTCGGATGCAACTAGGTGGAGTCCCACTGTTCATCCACCGCTAATAGCTAGGTGTCTACCTAACTCAAGGAGGCAGCCAGCCAGTTTCATGGGCAGATCCCAGAGTCGGCCACCATTTTCATGGGCTGACCCCCATGCCTCTGACTGGCCGAGGGCCCCCCGCAGTCTCGCCCCTCCCCACAGATTGCCAGATGGCCCCAAACTGGCTTAATTACCCTGATTAACCCCAGGGAAGCCATTAATCTGTGTTATTAAGTAATGGCTTCTCTATGCTTAATCAAGGTTATTAAGCCATGCTCTGGGGCTATCCCCAAGCAGCAGCAGCAGGCCCCCCCACCACCCCGACTTGCAGGGCTTCCTGAACTTTTTTCTGCTTGCCAATTTTCTTCTCCCAGCGAGCCAAAATTTTATCATGAAGCCTGCCCAAAATCACCGTTTCCATGAAAATCACACAATTGCAATTTTGGTGGGTCCCTACTAATAGCAAAAATGGGTTTTTGCAACAGCAGGAGAATGCTAGCTGGTCATCTTATTTACGACTATCGGTTCAAGAGTACTCTGTCTCAAGGAGGCTTCAGGAAAAACAGTTGCACTGAAGAGGCTTGTTAACCTAGTCACGCAATGGTACTGATCATTCCTATGACTGCGATAAGAGACTATAGGTCTGTGCAGTATTGGCTGGCAGAGCCAGGGAAAATATTTTGTGTTTGAATATTGTGCTATTGGGAAAACTGGGAAAACTGTAGCAAGAAAAATTGAGGTTGGATACTGGGAAGAACTTTCTTACTACGAGGGTCATTAATCATTGGAACAGGCTATCCAGAGAGATTGCAGAATCTCCATTCTTAGAAGTTTTTACGAACAGGTTACATAACCACTTGCCTGGGATGGTTTAGTCACAAGATGAGCCTGCCTAGAGCAGGGGTTGGACTAGACGTCCTCCTGAGGTCCCTTCCCACCTTACTTTTCTATGATTCTACGAACATATCTGCAGGCGAATGGAAATTGCAAGCTCTATAATAGTTTTTCTGTAATACCTGCTCATAGTCTAAGAGCTGATACAAGGATCTCCTATGATATCCTACATATTCATCAACCACTCTGTCAAGGACTCTTTAGCCCCATGAGAACAACATTAACCTCTTGGGATCTCTGCAATTTGGCAGTTAAGACTATTTCAATGCCATCCAAATGAGAGGGCACCTGCCGGACACGTACTAAAAGGTGACAAGAGGATCTTCTCCAGACAGGCCCCTCACTCCAACTCAGCCCTATGCCCTCAGCATACTTTCTGATGGGGACTGCATTGGTTCCCACAAGCTGACACCACGCTCGTTTTGCGTTAGGACCCACATATCCCCCAAACTTCAATACCCCACTTTTTATGACTGTCATTACCTTTTCCTCCCCTGACAAGCCATCTTTCTCCTCTGCCCCTTCACTGATCTTCTCACTGTACTCCAACGCATCCAGAAGCCCAACTTGCTGCTGCCTGGAGGAGACAGGCCCTTGCTCATACTCCATGCACAGGCTGGCTGCTCCATCCCCACTTGCTGACAAATCTGTATCAGAAAGACAACACACAAACATTTGCCTTCCTTCTTATACTTAGCAACTCACAGATGCTTTCAGTAACTCCCCAAGGTGTGGTGGGTTATTCCTCTTTTTTTTGTGTCTCTTGTACTGGTACTACACAGAACATTTTGGTAAAAAGTCCTTTTAGCTGACCTTTCCCATCCTGGTGAGAGACTATCTACAGGCCTGACTTCTGCATTTAAAAGGAGGACTTGCAGATGGGACAAAATCTCAGTAGTCATATCTAAAATGAAAATGGTTTATATGATGTGATATGCTTTGGAAATCCTGCTGCCACTTACCAGTGAAGTTATTTGCTTAATCTCAGAGTCCAGTTACTGCATCTAAGCAACCTGGCAGTGAAGTCTGCATATACACATTTTACTTGACACAACACTAATTTCACAGCACAAAGACAGTGACACCACCTACAGAGTATAATCCTCTCACTCACGAGGTTGATGTTATCATGTGTAAGTGGCAAATGTTATGCTGTCATCTATTTAAGCTGCCCGTCCATGCGGCATATTTTATCTCATCCTTTAAGGGCCTGATTTGCCTGGCTGGAGAGACCAGAACTGGCTGCTACAAATAATATTACAGTAACACCAATTTGCTACTTCTAAAAAAGCATTTTCCTTAAAAGTAAAAAAGAAATTCCTTACGTTCGTTAGCTTGCGAGAAACTTAAGTATATTAATAGGACAGTAGTCACTTTGTTTTTACTTCCGATAACACAATTTGCATAGCAAAACAACAGGAAATTAACTGTGAATCTTCAATGGAAGGGTCACACCACCCTCAGCCAACTGCGAAGGACTGCAATCAAGCCACACGAGAAACCTGCTTCTCTTCTAATCACAGTTTTCTCTTTAGAAGTTCTGCTTCCTGCAGTCCTTTCACTGAATCACTCATGACGTAAGCCGGCTGCTTACAAAAGCGTATCCTACGCATCTCTGAATCAGCTGGTCTATAAGCTTCAAATTTACCTTGCCTTCTGCTCAACAGAAGAATGACATCTAGCAGAAAACAATGAAGAATTCCTAAGTATTATAACTGGCTTGGAAATCGTACTTACAACAAAGTCCAGTATTATAGTCATATTTCGAAACGGTGATGGATCCAGAGGAAGGTACTGTACTAGCATCTTACTCCAGAAATGTTTTTACCCTTTGACATCTTTTAAATCTCAAATGTTTAGATCTAATCCCTTTCTGAACCTTGTTACACTACCTGCCTCTACAACCTCTTGGGGCAACAGTTCCACAAGTTAACTGCCTGCTACATAAAATGTACTTCCTCTTGTTTGAGCCCAATATCCCCATTTAGCTCTCTGAGCCACTACCACCAAGCTGTGCACCATTTTGTACCTTGCCCCCTTTCTCCAACACCTCCTGAATTCCCACCCTCCTGTCCTGCTTTCTCCAACATGGCTCAGAAGCTTTTGGCAGGGTTGGAGGCTTGTGTCTACATAAAACCTGGACCTACCTGTTATTTTCCTCTTTAAACTAGGAACGTGATCATCCAAATTCCTGGCTTTTTTGAGAGGGAGGCTAAGCTCAGCTGAAGCAGATGATGTTGGGTCCCCTTCACATATAGTACTAGCGCAAGAGGAGTTCCGGGTTGGCGGTGGAGGCACCTGTATATAGATTTGAAAAGATTATAGGAGTCAAAAATGACTGTTTCACTTCATAGTCCGGCTCATTTTGCCATGAAGGATTCCAAGAGCAAAACGGAGGACAGCTCATCTGTCCTGCAGAACCGTGATAGTGGGTTCTGGGTCTGCGCACACCTGCCGTGACTGACTTCTTAGAACTGCGCCAGGGTTATGTAAAGTGCAGATGTGGGAGCTCAAAACAAAGCCATGGGGAAGAGAAGCATTGCAGGACTACACCTGAAGAAAGTGAGCAGCATCACACAATGCATTTTAAGAAATGATTCTCTTTTTGATGTTCTTGCTGTAATACAGATGCATTTTCTTTTGGCTCCCTTTTCTAATGATACATGAATATAAAGGCCAGCCTCAGTTACATCATCCACCTTGATCTCCTGCATATGCATGCCATTACAGTTCACCCCTGAATTGACCCTAGTAATTGGGGTGGCCAAAGGCATCTAAATCCAGATTGGAAGACATTAAGAAATGGAAAATCCACCACTTCCCTTAGGAGTTTATTCCAATCATTATGGCCGTGTTAAAACAACAAAACAAACAAACCTGTGCCTCAAGCGTATCTGGCTTCAGCTTTCAGACACTTGTTCTTGTTACACCTGTCACCCCTACTCTGAAGAGCCCTAGATGAACAACCTGGCATTTAGCCAACTGAAAACCCAGATTGGATTGCATATGCCAAGGTGGCCCTGCAGCCCACTGTGCTCTGCATCATCATCCAATTCACTTTGCTAATTCCATGAGCCAGAGGAGACCTCTAAACCACCCAAGTAAAGAAGCTTGCTTAGAAAGGATGAAAGCAGCTTGTCCTGTGGCTGAGCGCTCCTAGTCCCTGAAACCTCGAGACCAACTCCTCCTTTTTCTGAAGGGGTACAGGTTATATCCATGTTGGTCTAAGGACATAGGCAGACAAAGTTCTTTGGGTGAATCTGATCTCTCTTACTTATTTTATTTAACCTTTTTCTGAAGACACTTACAATTTTCTGAGCAACTCGAAAGAACTGGGAGACAGCTCGGACTGCGTGTCCAAAGTTGTCATACACCTTGACGTAGGGGCGGACCCAGGAAGGCAGCTTGCCTCTGATGTCATTGTTTAAGAACCTGTGGAAAGTTGAATGAGAGGAAAATTATCCCTCAGTCAGTCCCATTACTTTAACCTCTCAAAAGGACATGCAGCTTTCAACAAACATCGCTCCAGACAGCCTGGAAGAGGGACCCACGATTAAATAGCAAGCAGAGGAGATGGAGAGTACACATAAATGTCCTGTTTGCATGGGAAGGCAAGGCTGAGTTGAAGCCAGGTGTTATGCAGTCAAGCACTGTCCCAGTTTCACCCAGACACAGTCTACCAGTACATGCCAGCACTGAACTATGAGACATGCCAGTTGCCTTAGGCCACAGTCTCAGCTGGGAAAAAAAGAGATTTTCTGGCAGTGGAAGCCTTTCCTGCTTCTCCTTCCCTCCAAAATCCAATTGCCATTCATTACCTTCTAACGTGAACGCAGAGCAGGAGAGGAACATCTGCTGTGTTTGTATTAAACATTTAATGAAGTTCTGTATCCTGACATCAGAAAGACTAGGAGACGCACACACGCACAAACGCATCCAGCTTATTCTGCATCTGTTAACATTGATACCAGTCTCTTTCTCCAGTCCAAAAGGGGAGAACATTTTGGGAAGGGAGAGCGGAAAAGAAGCATACAAGTTATTTTTACTTTTTTAGGGAAGCTGTTTCCTCAGCCATTCTCCAACTAGCAGTACCAGCGCACTTAGAGAGAGAGAGGATACCAGCTGCAGGTTGGATGCAGGAACACTGATGCACACACATGGAAACTTCTATTGAATACTGCTCAACCCAGGAGCTCACCTGTTGTCACAGAGGAATATGGCACCATAATCGTGGCGGTGTCTGATGACCCTGCCGATGGCCTGATTCACAGCCCGAGAAGCTTGCTGGCTGTACCATTCGCGCCCAGACAGAAACTGAAACAGGTGGGAGAAAAAGGACTGGATGATTTTAATACGTAAAATGTATTTGCAACGTAGAGGTTGCTTGTCTAAGTCTCCATCCCATATGTGCTGAAAACACTCCTAAAAAAGTGAGAGTCGTAAGAGTTCAGTGCAGGCAGAACTCTGCCTAAAACATCTCATCTGACTAAATGGCAGCAGTACTTATGTCCAGATAATCCCTGCCTAGCTACGGACATCATCTTCAGTTATGCAGAAAGCGTAAATAGTCACTGGAGAGACGGGGCTATAAATTCCGACTCAACAGCACTTACCATGTGGCTGATTACTTAGCAGTTATTCTGCAGAACAGGTAAGAAGACAGACTCAGAATAAAGTGCTACTGAATATAGCCAACAACATATATTTGGCTGAGGCTGCTTGACCAATTTCCCGCTAAGCCAGACATTCCCTTTGAAAGATAAGGACTGCCAGACATAAGGAAGTCTTTGTAGCTCTTCCAGGGGCTTTCTGGCCTTTGTCTGATTACAGCCATTGTAACACGGAGGTGGACTCTGGAACATCAAGAGAACCCAGGAAAGAATCTGAGCAGGGGGTGTCAAATTCTCAAGGTCTTACAGCTTTTTAAGTTATCCGGTCCCATTGGAGATTGGAAGAAAATCACATGCAAAAGACAGACACAGTGGACAAGGTAATAACCAACCTGTGAACCTCCACTTTTTTTTCTCATTTCATCTAGGAAGTCCATCTTTAAAACAACTCTTGGTTCCATGCAAGGGGGGAATGGAAGTCCAGTGATGATGACACCTCGTCCATTTGTATCTGCAAAGTCCAAGCCTTCACTGGCCTGAGGACGTACAAATACTCTCAGATCACCAACAGGAATTAAGTGACATTTCAGAGCAGTTAAGGAGCTATTTGCCTTTTTCCCCCTCCTTAAACTACATGTTTGGCTAGCAGAGTTTGAAACTAGTGAAAATACTGTGAATGGTATGAATGGGATTCCTGGCTTCTAATACCAGGATGTTAATCTTAGTGCTTTCCCACTACCAAACACACATTAGCCAAAATGTTTTAAGGAACAGTTTTTCTCTGCTCTTTTCTTATTGTGATGGTGGCTAAGACATTAATCATTTCAAACACTTTGACTTCAGGGCCATATTGCTCTCAGAACCACTATCTGATACACATTTCATGCCTGGGCAACCAGCACAGTTCAAACCCAGACAAGTCAGATAAGAAATAATTAAACTTTTACAATAAAGCGCTCTCTCCCTTTTCTTCAGGGTCACTATAGCAAGATGCAGCAAGTCTATTTCAAGCCTTTGCCCTAACCATTTAAAGCAGGTACAAACTATCCCAATGAGATCAATAGCATTTGTAAAAATCAGGAAAAAATAATGCAACTGAGACCACAAAAATTGGCAGCAGGACCCAGGCAGATGTAGGACATGATATTAATATGTGCTAATATTTTTAAAATTAAGCAGCAACACTGCAAGTCTTCAACGATGTTTCTTCAACGTACTTGACAGAAACAGCCATAAACGTTTTTCTAAAGAGAAAACAACAGTTCTTCTGCGAGCAACCAGTACGTCACTACACGCAAAGCATGAATCAGGTCCCTTTGGGATATTCCAGAGAGGCATCCGTTCAAGTAAAACCACACACGAAGGGGCTGTGTACAAAAATCAGGTCTGAAAAAACCCTAGGATTTCCAGGCTCAAATTCCTTTATTTGTTTTCCGCATGTGTGATTGTGGGAATGCACAATGTGCATACACTCCTCGTAGCCAAAGGAACTATATAAGATGACACTTGTCTCAGGAGCGCCACACTTTACCTTTCCCCTACATACTGCCAAGAAAGCAGCTCCGCTGGACTTCGGACAGACAATCTTGTCATAATAGGCATCCATTACCTAAAGATAAACAGTTTCGGTAAGGATGGGGGAACTGCCCCACTTACACAAGCACAAATAAAACAAGATAATAAGCTTTGACTCACATTCTGAGATTCAGCCCATGGTTATCTTGGCTAAGTATCAGTTTCCTTACCGGCCGATAGTTATGAATGCGAGAAGTATCTATTCAGTCAACCCCCCCACTGTTCTAGACAAGTCAAATTCCTGGTAAGCCGGGTGCTGTTACCTACCTCCAGAAAGCAAACAAAACACTCATTGTGCACTAATTTTGTGACTCCACGCTGACAGCTCAGGCAAACAAAACAAAGCAATTCAAGGATATAATTGACTCTTTGTAATAGGAGCAATACAAGAGACTGGAAGCAGACAAGAAAAACAGTGGGAAAAGTGTGGGCAGTTTCAACAAATTGAGAAATAAGTTATAAATAACTTTAACCTCATTTTCAACTACACGTGGCCCACTGGCAAACACCACATGGAAGACCAGCAGCAGTCTGGATGAACGGAGGAGATGTTGTTCTAACCATTTCAGTGACGATAAAAAAACAAAACAATTTTGATGCAACTCAAATAACCTCCCTTATTAGGTCACGGCACGAAAGAGGTGAGAACGCAGCGACAAATGGTAAAAACCCTACCTAGCATCTTCTGGGGATCCCACTTCCATCTGCAGGTGATGGCATTGACCTTTTTGTCATCTTTTTCTCTGAAATGTTATATAATCCAGTGTTTCTAAATTAAGCCACGACTATCTAATGTTTACTTTGCCAAAAAATATTTTAAATCAGCGACGTCAAACATATGACCTGCAGGCCAGATCCGGCCCGTGGAGCTGTACGATCTAGCCTGTGGATTGCCGGACCAACCCCTCATGCCACCGGTCCACATGCCCTGCACAAAGATTCAGTCCTGGTCCAGCTGGCATGGGGCCACATGAGTTTGACACCCTTGTTTTAAATGGTAAAGACAAAGTGTGGACACAAGCCAAGATGGAGCACATAGCCACACAGGCAGTCCACAAGACAACTGCTATACAGCTGACTTTTTCTTTCAGGGTTACTCAAGTCGGCCCCTGAAGAGGCTGTTTAAACACGGTGGTGCCAGTCAGACACACTAACATGCAAACAGAGGGCTGGTAGGAGTTTCTTTCCTCTCTGGTAGAGTCTACCTTCTCCTTCCTTTGGCTATTGCTTCGGCTTGAGAACGTGGCAGATAGCAAGTATTTTGTAGGTGATTCCTACGGAAGGACACACACCGGGTGAGTCTTGATACAGCCAACCTAAAAGGCTTTGCATTCCACTGGAGAGTCCTGAATTAAGTGCTGATGTAGTATGAAAGGGAGAAGGGCAGGAGGGGGAACATTACAGAGTAACATGCTTCATCTGATTAATGCACTGATCCTCTAGGCAGAAATTAACATTGCCCAGCCAAAGTTACTGTGTTTTTAATAAAATATATATATTTCACAACAAGTCGAATGTCTGCAAAATGAACAGTTGGAGGGAAACGGCCTGGCAGACTTTCAAGAGACAGACTAACATTTCCTCCCCTCCCCATCCCTATTGTCTAGGTGTCAAAACCTGATGAGATTCAACAGAACGGAGGAAACAGGGTAACGAGCAGCAGAAAGGTGACAGGGAGAACTTCCGAAGAAGCAGGCTGGTCTGACGTCACTGCAGCAGACCCGCTTTGATAGATGCAAACTGACCTCCATGAAGGTGCCTTTGTTCCTCGGTTCCACAAACATCGGTTTTACTTCTTCGATTCTTCTGGCAAAGTCGTGTTCCTGTTAAACAGGTAAATGAGACATGGGTATGGGGGAGTGGGGGGAGTAGCAGCTGCATGTTATCCGCACCTGTTGCTCTCTTGGCACCAGCCCCAGCCTTGACCCTTGCGACAGTGGCTCTCCATGCAGCTGGCCATCTGCCGAGCCTTGATGTGAGGCCCACCTCTCTGGTCTAGTTTGCAGAACCGTCCCTCTCTACCATCAGAGAGGCTTCCTGGGGTCCCCCCCTCCCCACAATCTGCACTACAAGTCTGTTTTCCAGCTCCCCACCAGCACAGCACATTACAACATTACCTAGAGGAGCATCCTAATGCAACTTCTGCTGGGACATGCAGTTCATATACAAGAAGCTTGACCCATGCATCCCATCCCCTTCAATTAGTTTGAGTCCTCTTCTCCTTCTCCTCTCCTCTCTGGCTCCTTGTCCCAGTCTTAATCTACTCAGACATCCAGTCCCAATCTTTATGACCGAGCTTCTCATTCAGTCCCAGTCTTCTTGCTTAGCAAGTCCTAGTCTCACCTCTGAATTCCCCGCAGGCTCCCAATCTTAATCTCCCTCTCTTGTATGGTCATCCCAAATGTATCCTGTCCTCACAGTTTCCTGCCCCAATTTCTTTGTCCAGCCAGTCCCTGTTCTTGCCCAGAAGCTCGCTCCTCATCTGAGCAATCCTAGCCCCTACCTTCTGGTCCCTAGCCCAACCCCAATTTTTCTCCCCAGTTCCCAAGCTTTCTCCTCCTATACCATGAGCTTCCAGTCCCAATTCTCCTCCCTTCCCCACCCTAGATACAAGTTTTATCTTCTCTGCTTAAGAATGAAAGCATCTTCCTTCTGTATATTCTCTGAGCACAGAAGGATCATTGGGAGTACCTTCTCATGACTCAAGTCCCACTGTGCAGCATGACCTACAGTAAACCAGAACTGCTGTTGCTGGGAACATCCTGCTCAGCCCAAAGTTTAATTAAAACCAGCATGCAGAGCATCTGTGGGAAACTTAGCTGCTAAAAACTAAGTCTCTACTGAAAGTTTTCAAACTTTCCATGGGTCCGGCAAAAGGGGTATTCCTGACAGAAGGACACCCACCCTTGCCAAACTCCAAGCCCCTGAAATGAATCCTGGAGCTTCCGATTCTTGTAAAGACAAGTTTGCCAGGACCTTTCTTTTTAAAAAAACAAAACAAAAACAAAGTTGTTTTGTTTTTAATACAGGCAAAAAATGTAATTTCCTCTCCCCTTACTCTCAGAAACAACTGGCTTGCTTAAGTTGAAAGTTTTCACAGAAAAAATGCTGCCTGAGGCAGACACCCAGCATGAAAAACTTCGGCCCAAATAGCAAAGTTACAGATGTCTGAACCAGACAGTTCCACGAGCCGGGCTGTAACAGCAATGTGCAGAAAGCTCTTTGCCTAATAAACCAAACATCTCACACCCCTTGCTCTTCCTGTTCCCCAGGTCCCTCACTGTCCAGCACCTGATGAGTTATGGGTGGCATCTGGGGGGTTTTGCAACATGTCACATGTTTCTGTACAATATTGCATAAAACCTATACTGAAATGTAGACAGTAAATAATAACCAATCCTGAGGCATTTCAAACAGATATGCAGGCAAGTCAGAGCTAGAATGAAGTCTTGAGTATCCTCATGTAAACACCCCAGTGTGATAATCTGGTTCAAAATCTGTAACTAAGATTTCAGGCACAAAAAGAAAAGAACCAACGTACTCTCCAATGTGCCAGGCTTTTATCCATGACCGGATATGAAGGGAAGAACACCAGGAGCCCATCTGGTATAACTCGGACAAGATTACCTGCAACAAGAAAGAGCAATGCATCCCACCATTCACAGTGCTTTTCTTTCCAGATAGTGGGTAGGAAATCCCCATATTTACTTGAATACAAGACAAGGCATGAATTGCATACAAGAAAATCTCACTAAACACACTATCATTAAACTGCTGCCAAAAGCAACATGTGCTCAAGCAATGCAAAACCAACTATGAAGCTGATTAAATGCATTCAGCACTGAGCAGGACTATAAAACACATGGCCCACACTGGGCAAACATGCCGATGGGAACCTACCACAAGAATAGGTTAGAGTAGCCCCTCTGACTAAGACGTGTGGTAGTGTTCATTAAGTGCAGTCTCCCCTCACCACCAACTCTTTTTCAAGTCATTGTGAGCCACAACATGGCATACAGTTCACCCAGAATCCCTCTGTCGCCCCCTCTGAGCCTGGGGCGTATGATTAATGTGGCCCTGCCCCCCATGTGGTGACGCCAGACCAGGTTGCCCAGTGCCTCATCTGCATACACATTTTTGGAGCATCCCAGGACTCATGACCAGAACACCCAGTTCCAATCACGTGTCGGGGCTAATTAGCACATGGCTCCTGTCAGGGGAGGAGCGGATATCTGGAGTACACACACATACTGAGCACTGCTGAGCCATGGGGTCACTATAGCTTGAAATGCTGTCGACTCTGGTGGAGCCCAGACCAACGAGCTATGTGGTAAATCATTAGTCTTTTGGTTTTGGACTAACATTGCACAGTTTGTACTACATACAAGTAGCTGCCAAAGTGCTGCTCAAAAGTGTGTTCATGGAATACCTGTGCTAAAACTTGCAGCAGTTTCAAATAAAGGTGACATGCATCAATTCTGGATGAACTACGTGTATGGCTGCTACACGCAAATTACTGTAGTCATATTGAATTTCAAACTTACTGTTTTCAGATTTCCTTTTCCTTTCCATGTGCTCAGGGAGAGCAAGGTGAGACCAGGGGGAAAAAAAGGAAAAGGGGCTGCCAAGGGAAAAAGGTGGGGGGGAAGCAGAGAGCAAAGGGCTACCTGACCCCTCAGATTTATTTTCCCCGCTGTAGCAGTGGGAAGGGCACAAATTCAAGGCAAATCTCCAGTGATTAGATTCTCTATGCCTGGAAAATTACAACAAATTTATACATTTTCCGTATATGGAATCTCATTACTGGGGGGGGAGGGGAAGTCATCTTATAATTAGGGTCATCTTCTATTCAAGTAAATATGGTAGCCTGTTTTTAAGGGATGTCATGGTCTGCCCTCCATCTCCTCTTCAGCTTTTTTTCTCTAGCCTTGAACCTGGTAGACTTGCAATCCAGGAACAAATACAGCCACTGGGTTATTCTTCTGCTGCACAATCCTGACACAACACAGCACTTATTACACATGTATGCCAGAAATAAAGGAAAGAAAATACTTAATGTCATCTCCCCTATTCTTCTATGGCTTGTTTTCTAGATTCTATAGATTTAACATACTCCCCTTTCAATAGCCCCTTAGCCAAGCAACACAATTTTATTTCTCTTAAACTTTCTTCATATATATTTTTCCCCCAACCATTTTATAAAAATTGATAAAAACAGCAGGATGGACCTGCTTTTGTAATTGCTACTCAAAACTTCACTAGCCATTTTGGTGCTATATATAACTTTATAAAGTAAGGCTTAATTTACGTCCCATTACCATCTCTGAAGATCTCTTCTTTTCTAACTTGCATCTCCTTCTGTTATATTCTGACTATCATGTTCTGTTATCTAACCGTTGTTCTGTTCTGGTGGTTTGTTTTCAGGGCTAGATTTCTAGGTCAGTGGACAAGCAACTGTGGCTAAAAAGGGGCGCTTACATCTGCAAGTGGTAACTAGATGCATTTGACAGGGAATTACTCAATGCAAATGCATCTAACTAGCTACTTGTGCGTACACTTATCTGATTTGTGCATGCCTTCTGATCTTAACCTCTCTCTGTATTTATCTGTTCTCACTAGCATTTGATGCCTCTTCTCAATCTGATTCTCCAAATTAAACCCTAGATTAGAAAACATTTAAATTTGCTCATGGGAATACCCAACCTTTAAAAAAGCGAGATAATATCTAGCTGTTGTCATTCTCTAGCATATGCTAACCTTTACACTTCACAGTTACCATTTTCACTGATAAGACTTTACTGCTCTATAAATGTCCCATATGCTACAACAGATCTGAAACTATATACTCAGACACCCCATGCCTCAAATGAATCATGACAAAAATGCTTACCTCTGGGCTCAGCAGCATTACTATACATGTGTTAGACATCCATGCACTGCTGAAGTGTAGCGTGCATTATACCCCCATGAAGGAGGTGGCTAGGATTAAGGTTTGTATGATATTGTTCCCTATAAAGGAGAGAGGCCTAACTTATGACTAGTCTTAGCTCTCTGGTACCTTCTAAAGTCTAACGTAAGTCACAGACCATCATGACTTTCTTTCTCAGTCTGTGCTGAGTAGGTATGCTGTGAAAGATGTGCTCAGCATATGGAAAGAATGAGATACAATGTGCACATAATTCAATACCACATGCTCTCTTAAAGCAACAGGCTAGTTATTTCAGGATGTAAGAAGTCTTTATAAACAGCTCACAAACAAAGTTCTCCCCTTTTGAATATCATAACTGCTTGTGCCTGTTCATAAGAAGTCATTTTCTGCCCCCCACTCCCCACCTATTTACAAGCACCATGGCTTGTTTCTAGGATCCGAGTATACCACACTTACCTATAGTTTTCCCCAGAGAAGATAGATATTCCTCAGAAAACCTTCAAAGAGATTAAAACAACAATATCACCATGCAGTTTCTTTTATATTAACTAGTTCTCATTTTGAAACTCTTTGCCTGGAGTAAGGCATCCCTAATCCCACATACTTTCCCTTCCTGTGTCTTCAGCCCTCACCCCAGAACCCAGCATTTTCAAGCGTTACCTCTAGACATCATGATGTCCACATTTTCTTCATGTACTTCCCTCCCACTTTGTATTGTTAAAACAGCCCCAGGTTCCTTGAGGTAGGAAAGACAGGAGGGGCTCCTCTTGTTAACATGTCTAACCCCTTAGTCAGTACTAGTGCAGTATGGAGAATTGGACCAAAAGAAATCTCATGAGGTTCAATAAAGAGAAGTGCAAAGTCCTGCAAGGAGGACAGAACAATCCCATGCACCGGTACAGGCTGGGCACCAATGGGCTAAACAGCAGCTCTGCAGAAAAGGACCTGGGAGTTACTGTGGAGGAGGGAAGTGATTCTTCCCTTTTATTTGGCACTGGGGAAGCCACATCGGGAGTCCTGTGTCCAGTTTTGAGCCCCCCGTGACAGAAAGGATGTGGACAAGTCAGAGAGAGTCCAGCGGAGGGCAATGAAAATGGTTTGGGGGCTAGGACATGTCTCCTGCAGAGAGGCTGAAGGAACTGGACTGATTTAGTCTGGAGAAGACAACCGAGAAGGGATTTGATGACAGCCTTCAACTAAAGGATCTTTGCAAAAAGGATGGAGCTGGACCGTTCTCAGTGGGGACAGATGACAGAACAAGGAGCAATGGGCTCAGGTTGCAACAAGGGATGTTGAGGTATATTAGGAAAAACTCTCACTAGGAGGGCAGTAAAGCACTGGAGCAGGTTACTCCACCAGAGAGGTGGTGCAGTCTCCATCCTTGGAGGTGTTTAAGACCCAGACAGACAAAGCCTTGGCTGGGATGATGTAGCTGGGGCTGGTCCTGCCTTGAGCAGCGGGGTGGACTACATGACTTCCTAAGGTCCCTTCCACTCCTCATTTTGCACGTCATTTATCCCTCCACAAAATGTATGCATGTGTCCTCACTAACTTCCTGGTCCCATCTTTACAGAAACAGAGGAAGATGCTCTGACAACTCTTAGCTTTAGTACAACACTTACCACCACGGACCACTGCCCTCCAAGCAGCTAGCAATAATTAGGCCTACCTACACATTGTCATGATCAACTAGAAAAGCAACAACTGGAACTAGGTTTTAGCCCTGAAGAAAATCTAGGTCACAATGCATCAGCCTTCAGTCATGAAAGCATGAGTACCTACAGATAATGAGGTTCATGATTAAAAATGAAATCATGAACAAAATCCTCCCAGACAGCAATGTGAAGAAGCTGCCAAGACTGATAGGAGTTATTAACTAGGTGTGGCAGTGCCATGCGACAGGAAGAGTTGATTTAGTATCTGTATTTCCAGTGCCAGCTGAATTAGACAATGTGACTAACACTCTTTGACTCAGCGCCGCTCTGCGGGCACGGTCCGGTATTCTTTTGACGGTGCTACTTCCTATGGAGAATCCAACTATTCTCTCCCTACATCCACTTCCTCATATCTCATTCTCTTTGTTCCAGAGAGTTTTGCATGTTTTGCCTCCCCAGAAAAAAGCGTGAAGCAGAAAAAAAGTAACTTGATGTTTACACAGGCTACAAATGCTGGTGCCAGATCGACGATGGCAAGTGCTGCACATTTCCCTCCCCTCATGCAAGGCACAATGAAAAGAGACACGTGCTACGGGATCTGACATCACAGCGAACTTAAAGAGTGGTCTCTAAGCTTCTTGGATTTGCGATGCTTTATCTAAGGGCAGGGACAAACAGATGCATTAGCAATTCTGAAAGGGGAAGGGGAGCTACTGATTCAGAGTGTGCATCAACTGCTACGCTGGAGCTGCTGCCTGTGCATGAGCATAGCAGTACGAATGAGCTAAATCAGGGCCTCGCTACACGGTGATTTGGGGCAGCTCCTGGAGCTCTTAATTCCTGGATTCTCCACACATTAACACCGTAAAGTGGCTTAAAGCACTTGTTATGTGGCGCAAAGTTCTGCCACGCCAGGGCAGGGTTTTCTCTTGATCTGCACAACCCAGCTCCTGCTCCATTAAGGTGCAGCCACTCCACACAGGTGTGCCGCTCAAGTTGAAGGTGCGACTAGCACTAAGCAGCGTACGGTGCAACAAGGCCCCCACTCTAAGCTTGACCCTGAATGAAGCAGCGCTGAAGTGGCAGAGGTTCTGCCACACCGGTATTCCTACGGCATCATAGGATGGCACTTATGCAACAACTGACATTGGTACCCTCCAACACAGACACAAATTTTACCATCTATATGCCCAGTGTTTTACACTGCTTACCACCCCTGCAATATCTGAATGCCTTCCATGTTAAAAGGATGGAAACAGCAAAATTTCAAAAGGCAGCATGGTCCTTCTCCCTTCTTGTGGGAAGGGCAGACTGCTCGGGGTAGTCTGTGTGGGGGTTTGGGATATCGCTGAAGAAGGGGTAAGTCAGGTCTACTCCAAGCTAAACTCAAACTTAAGTAGTCTCTGCCTGGGGAATTGTTTCTCTACAACACTGAACTCAAAGTGGATGAACAAATGCATCAGACTGTACCTCCTTTGGGTAATATGGGGAAGAGAATTAAAAAATAAAAAAAAATCAGAAAATCCATGTGTGCAGCAAAGGCACTTCCTCGATATCTGAAAAACCTAGTGCGAGCTTCAGTGGCACCAGCCCAGTTACACCACTAGGTTGGGTGAATGACTTTTCAAGAGCTGACAAACCCATAATCCACCAGATTTGGTAAAGTGTGAATTTTTTATCTTCACATTATATGAATAAGTCTGATGTTGAAAATGATATGACAAAGCAGGAACAAAAAAGGGGAGAATTCTATTTTCCAGCCTTCACTGATTCCATTTCCTTTCCCCCAGAGCAGAAAAGTTCTGCTTTTCGTCAAGAACCCAAGCACAAACCCAGCTGCCAATGAAGTGCAACATTCCTTTGAAATATCTGTTGGAACGCTCTCAAAAACCTCCAGCTGACCTGTTTGGGTCACTCTGCAGATGCAGACAACCGAAAAGAGTAATGAAATATTTGGAAAACATTAGTGTCAAAAGAAGTGGATTAATTTTCCCGAGGAAAGAGAAGACTTAGGGGGAATATGACAAAGTTTTTCAATCGCTGAAAGATTGTTATAAAGATGACAATGATTGTGTGTTCTTCGTAGCCACTGTGGGTAGAGCAAGAATTAATCACCTTAATTTGCAAAGATTGTTTTGGCTGCATATTACAAAAGAGCAGGCGGTGGATGAGATGATGTCTGAAGGTTCTTTCCAGTCCTAGTTTAAGATTTCTACTTCAACTGTAACCCCCGTTTTTCAATCTGCAAATCAGTTCCTCTCAGCAACAAATTACAGAGAAAGCTAAACATTCTGCAAACGCTCAGCCTTCAAATCGAATCCATGTGCCAAGACCCAAGACTTTAAACCAACATTTTAAATGGCATAATTTAATACCTTTTTCCATAGGAAGAGGAGAGCACAGCTCCATCTGGTCCCTTTGGAATGATCCCCACCCAGATCTGGTGTTCATCAATGACATGAGGATTCTCCAGACAAACAGGGAAAGGTCTGAGGAAAAAGCAGAAAGGTCCGCCACACGCTCATTCCAGAAGCCATGCTGCAGCTATCAACCCCAAACACTTAGAACAAATGATGAGATTGGTATCAAGACAGTAAATACCCCGAACCACCGAGTTTAGTGTGCACCCCAGAGAAAGGTACTTACATCTGCATTTCCATTGTGAGGGAGGAGAGTGGGGAGAGAGTCCCGCTAGTGAGGATAATTGTCCGGACTCCCTGACGAACCAGCTCATGCATGCTGTACCCAGGGCTGAAACACCAATAGCTCAAGATCTTCCCTGTATCAGATAGGAAGCAAAATTCTAAGAACCGGGATCCGTGCAGTGGAGGCCACGTCGCGGAGTGGTGGAGGGTGCCCTGCCCCATCTGGCATTCGATAAACTAAAGAGAGGTTCAAATCACAAAGCCAGGCTCCGGAGCTAACCTTCCACGGGTACTCAAGAGCAGCCAGAATCTGGGTTTCTGCTTCACCCATCCTGGTCTTAATTCTGCCTACTCAAAACAGGAATTAAAGGGTCAAAATTTCCCCCCTGCTCCCATTTCCATTTCAGTAGTTCCTATTTTCAAGGCAGACGGTTGTGGATCGGATCAGATCAAATATATCCAAGATACCAAAACCTTGAGTCTGACCAGTTGCATGCACAGAGTGGATATAACTAGGTCAGTCCTTCATCCAGAAGTTGGCTTCATGGTGCAACAGGTACTGCGAGTGGAAGATAGGGTAGAAAAACCAGACAGGTGGGATGAAGAACTAGGAACTTTGGTCACCTGAAAAAACAACTGATCTCTACCCCTGCTCACGAGGGGAAGGGGAAAGTAAAGGGGCACTCTGCCCCAGAGCTAACAGCCTCAACATCTTCTGGAAGCCAAAACCTAAGCTGGCTTCTCATGCCCCCAAATCCCCAAACTCTCCTTTAGCCAACTGCCAAAACCTCTAGCTTCCCTCTCCCCTGTCTAGCCTGTACACTCCTCATTAGCACTGTGGAAACAGTCTCTAATTGGCCCTATATCAAGACAGGTCTGGGCATGTCACCCAGAGAAAGCAGGGTCCTTCATGCCATGGGGCACATTTAAAACCTAGCTGAAGAGGACACTCCAGTGGTGCAGAGGGCCAGGGCAAGGTGACACCAGCCCACATAAAAACCTTCCCCATGCCACCAACAATATCCCCTGCCTGAAATCTCACTTCCCATCTAAATGTGCAGGGTGCCTTCAGAGCATTGACCCTACGGGTTGTGCAGGGCCCAGGACCACAGCAGTCTCTGCTTCCCCAGCTGGCTGACTGACAGAACAGATAGGAAGACCAAAGCTAGAACTTAGCCCAGGATATTTAAGTTAATCCAATCAAGGCACGGCTTCCCCATAAAATCCTTTGAAAACAGACATTTCTGGGCCCCTTAGGAGGTGCTCCATTAAATACTCAGGTATTGAGGTGAGGCCAACTGGTCTGTAGTTGCCTGGGTCCTCCTCCTCACTTTTTTTAAAGACGGGCACTACACTGGCCCTTTTCCAGTCCTCTGGTACCTGGCCTGTCTCCTACAACTTCATGCAGATCATTGCCAAGGGCTCCAAGATCTCTGCCAGCTCCCCTTCAGGACCCTGGGACAAAACTCATCTGGCACTGCTGACTTAAATTGATTCAGACCCAACAAAAGCTCTGACAGTCTCTCTTGTTATCTCCTTCCTTAGCTTGCCCCTTTCCTTATCCAGATAATCCCTGTTCGGTGTCTGGCAGCTTAATTTTTTTGTAAAGACTGAGGCAAAGTAGCTGTTGAGTAGCTCCACCTTTGCATCTTCAGCTGGGAGTTCCTGTGCCTTGTTAACAGAGGACCCACAGCTTTTTTGGTCCTTTGTTTCTGGCCAGCATACTTATTGAAACTTTTTTTGGTGTCCTTAACCTCCGTTGCCAGGTGCAGCTCGTTCTCATCTTTGCCATCCTGATTTTGTCCCTGCAGGTTCTTGCCGTTTCCTTGTAGGTGTCCTTCATGACCTGCCCGTTCCTGCATTACCTTTGCACTTGCCTTTTGCATTTGAGGCATTTTGGAAGCTCCTTGTGCAGCCACATTGGTCTCTTGCTATTCTTCTTGTGCTTCCATCATGTCGGGACAGTTTCTTGTTGGGTTCCCAATACTGTGCCCCTTAGAAGCTCCTAGCTCTCCTGGGTGCCTTTATTCTTCAGTTTATCCTCCCATGCCACCGTGCTTATTAGCTCCTTGAGCTGGATGAAATCCACCTTTCTGAAATCTAGCATCCTAGTTCCTTTGTCCTTTATTCTTTGTTTTTTACTAAAAACACAACAATCAGGAAAAACCAGACCAGTATTGACAATCTCTGGTTCAAGCATGAAGGCACATAAAATTATATTTAATTCCCTGTATTTGTCTCCTGTGGGAGGTGATATACAGCGTTGGAGGGAAACAGAATAAATTGGCTGTAGGCCTGTCAAAAATGGTCTTTGTGTTATCAGATAAGATAGATGCAAGACTCTGGCATTTAAATAAGGGACATTGTGCATCTTTTCCATGTAAAAATGCTTCTCCTGACTCAGAACTGTGTCCCATTTCTAAGAATAACAGTAATGGTGATCTGGACTGAGCGTGTGCAACAGTGCTAAGTATTTCCATGAAGTCAATATTGACCTTACTGATGTCAGTGTTAATAGAAGCAAGATTCTTTAACAACCTGGAAATTTTGTTTTCCACAGATATTACCCAATCTTCTTTTACAGGAATATCTGTGGACAGACATTATTGCTTGCGTGTGTAGGGGCAGGGAAACAAGCACAACGTGTGTATTTGTTTTTTGCTGCATTGTTTCATGGTTTTGTATGCAACAACTTGTCCTCCCCAAGCATCATGTTTTAGTAGCAGACAAGATGTTCCGATTACCTCTCCAAGCCAAAGCATTACTCAGAGCAGCTTGTTTTCGGAAGCCCACTGAGAATGACAGGATTGGCTAGTCCTGCAGATTATAAAAATAGAGCATTTCTTCATTTTTGAGAGTATTTAGAGTATTTCTGTATTTCTTCACCTAAAGGTTTGTAATATATTTGTCAATGCAGTCTGCAGTGTGATGCAGCTGCACAAAATGCCAACATGGTTTTGGGCTGCATCAATAGAAGCATTAGGTGCAAAACACGGGAGGTGATAGTGCTTCGATTAGGTCTCATCTGGATACTGCGTGCAGTTGTGGGCCTTACACTTTAAAAAGGACGTGAAGCAGTTAGAGGGGGTCCAGAGGCAGTCAGCAAAGATGATCAAAGGCTTGGAAAGCAAGTCATGCGAGGAGAGGCTCAAGGAGCTGGGCGTGTTCAGCTTGTGGAAAAGGCCCTGAAGAGGGGCATAAGAGCAGTCTGCAAATACTCGAAAGGCTACCATAAAAAGGAGATAAAGAACCTCTTCTCTCTTGCTGCCAAGAGGAGGATGTGGACCACTGTCTTGAAGTTGCAGCAAAGTACATTTAGATTGGATATGCAGAAAAAACTTCTTCACCGTGAGAACAGTGAGGCAGCGGAATAGACTGCCTAGGGAAGTTTTATAAACAGACTGACGATACGATCTTAGAGTGAACAAAATTAATTATGGCTTTTCAACCATAATATGGGAGTTCTACTGAAATGCTACCATCAAGATTAGACAATTTAATCTTTATTAAAACTATAGCACATACTGGCATATTTTTATGTGCCTAGGAGCAAATTTCCTCCTTGCCAGAGGTAAAACTGCACCGTAACTCTTTCCTGACAGACTTGGCTTTAATACAGCGTAGACTTCCTGGCCAAAAGCAACATTTCTACGCTGCCTTTCACCTGAGGAACCCAGGAGGTTTTATAAATATTACCTCGGATCTAAAAGAATTTTTACATAGCAAGGGGCCAAGATTTAACCTTCTCTGAGTTACACCCAGCAAGCCTGCCGTCAATTCTCCATTTGCAGGCACATGAAGCCCCCGACAGTGCTCTCATTGCCACTTAAAGGAACCACAACCCTACCTGACCTGCTATTTGTAACGGGGCTGGATACAGAAGCAAAGGAACGAGATTCCAGAACACCCAAACTCACGAGGCACCAGCCTACAGAGCACAGATACATAACTGCACAGCAGAGAACTGCAAAGATCCCCAGCTGCCCCTTCTCCTTAGCCCATGCTACCCCCTTTTCACAAAGCGAATGCCACAGTCCTAACCAGAAAATCAACCATGAGAAAAGTATGCATGTAATCAAGAAACAAAATCAAAGGCATTAAGATAATTTCCTCCCAATCCCAGTGGATGCTCTTGCTTATTAGATCATGTTTGTATTGTAGTACTTTTTATGCTACATCACTGTTTTGTTTAAGACCTGATTTTTTTTAGCAGAGTAGTTATACCAGCACAAGCTGTAGGGCTGACAGTTGTACTGGTATAAAAGAGCTTTATCTATATAGGTCATTTCTCCTTCCATATAAGAACAGCTATATGGATATAAAGCACCTTAATGCTGACAATTATGTCGATACTAGAGGGCTTGTACTACTTTAACAATTCCACGAGTTAAAGTGGTGCAACTTTAGTATAGAGCCACGAGCAAACCCTAAGCAGCAAGCCTATTTCACTTTCCCAATCACTACATCCATTTTTACATTTAAAGAAGGCTAGGCAGAGACTCCTAACCTGCCAGAAAGTTCCTTCCTGGGTCAGTGTATGGTACCAAAGGGTAAAATACAGATACATTTCTGACCACTGGGGCAGCTTCCAGTATTTTATTTTAAGGATGAACCAGCTGAGTGACTTTTAGTTTAGCTGTTAAAGGGCTTTCACCCCAACCCACTCCTGCACCTTGCTTTTTTGTAACAGATGCACTCCATAGGTCTGTCCTCTGCTTCTTTCTCTGATTGCTGGTATCCAGATGAATGTGCACCTGTAGAAAATACAGGGAAGTAACATGTTTCCAGACTGCTGTACAAAAAGAAACACAGATGCATCATTCCCAATCCTGGCTCCTGCTCTGAATGGCGAAGGTTCACTTTTTATAGTGCTAGCGCTGTTTGCATTTGCCTTTCCTCTCCTCTTGCTCACACCCTGCAAAGATGGCCAATACTTAAACTGCTAGTTTGGAGCAATTTATTGGCATGGAGAGCTTCTGGACTGCATGCAAGAGAGACAGTCAGTCAGTCAGTCACCTGTGTTCCCCTGGGAAATAAGAACATACAGGCCCACAGGAAGGATATTTCCTAAGAATATTACACCAAACAAATAAGTCTCAGGAATCACATTTTAATAAAAAACCTAAGCTCCTTTTCTTCCGAAGGGAAAATTGGTAGAACTTAGACATTTTCAAAACGTTAGATGTGAACAAATAATAGAAGATGTTCCCAATGATGAAGGGAACTGAACTACAGGGAACCTAAAGATGAGCAGCTAGGAGTTAACGAGGAACTCTAGCAGAATAACATCATGCACGCAGCAGCTACACATCTGATGCAAACAAATGACATCCAGCTTACAACTGATGCAGATTCTAAAGAAGGAAAGGACCGAGTCACCAGCTAAAAATACAAAGCGGCTGGATTAGGATCAATCAAAGTGGTGTTACATCTTGCTCTCCAAGTCTCAGGGTCTGGAGCACAGACAGGACAGAAGCCTGACCAGCTGCATAGCAGATAATGATACCAAACAGTAGGGAGGTGCAGTTTTGATGTGTTAAAGCTTGAAGTCTAATGAGAGGGAATCTGTGCTACAAAGGCTCAGGTTCTTTCTAAATTACCTAGGAGTCTCTGCCATTAGTCAACATTTATTTAGTAAATGTGGTAGGAATTTGATTTATCCAAACGAAGCTACATCCCTAGCAGTCGCATTGTATTGAAAGGGTCAGTTAATCCCAATTTGGGGAGGCACAGGGGAGGGGGAGGACAACACACACACACACACACACACACACACACACACACACACACACACACACACACACACACACACAGAGTGTTGTTTTTGGATAGACAGGCTTTTGCAAACTTCGTTCAAAAATGAACAAAATAAGTACTACCATAGCTGCTTTTCTTTTCCCGACAGGAATCAATTCTGGTGCTTCCAAGTTGCTATATAAGACAATTTATCTCAAACCTTTTCACCCGCCCACTGTTATCTGTTCCCATACTGTGCAATATTTTTTTTGGGTGGGGGGAGGAACTGATTAACAGTTTTACTATGAAGTATGCTTAGATAACGTGAAAAAGAGAAGCAGGGTGTTATACAATCATTTCTGATGAACTTGAGGCCCACTATGCTGGAACAAAGACTGATGAAATCCCATCTATCCCTTCCAGAAAAAAAAAAAAGCAGGCACATGGCAAATTCAAGAACTCATGGATGCAGCATCCTCGTGGTTCCTTGCTTCTTAAGACAAATTTTAGAACTACAAATCAGATGTTTCCCTTTTTTCCTGGAACTGGAGCAACAAATTCTAATCTTACACATTTATTTTAACAAAGACATTCCTTGCCTCCTTCTGGGATTCAACAACCTATATTGCTACCCTAGCCACTTCTGAGTCTTGACTGTATTACTTCAGCCACATAAGGACAGAAAGACCGTGCCAAAAACATACCAGGCATCCCATACCTTATAATGTTTCGATACAGACTGAACTGGGTTGGTGCTTGATGTGCCTTCTGGAGGATCAGTGCTAAACACTGTCTAGGAAACAGATGGAAAAAAAGACAGAACTTTAACAGATGTCCCAGCAAAGTCAAGAATGCACGCACCAAAACACTATTCGCAAAATAACTGCCACTGCTCTAACTTTAAAAGACATCCTTCAGTCCTCTTCGTTAATAAAAGCAGCAGCGAATTCCAAGTAAAGATATTTCTACAAGCAACTCAGAGGGGAAAAACTCAGGATACATTTTATAAATCAGAAAGTGGGCATACCTACAAGTATTTCAATATATTAGTCTCAATTTTCAGATGCTTTTCATGATTGTATATCCACTGGTGTACACAGTTACAGCACCTGAATGCATAAATCAGGGAGCTGAACGCAAATGGACAGCTCTACAAACTAAGAGAGGTATTAGTTTGAAGTCAGTCAGAAGGCAGGGTAGATATGCACGTTTATAGACCGAATAAAAAAAGATTTTTGAGAGAGAGAGAGCGCGCACAAGCCTTCATGAACCCACATTCATTTCACAGCATCTGCTGAAGTGAACTTGGGTTCCCCAGAGCTTGCACGCTCTCTCTCTTTCTCTATGAGAGCGCACATTTTTGCTGCTTTATGCAATGGGCTAGCCACTTGTGCACGCAAATACCCAATTTACACAAGCGACAGCAATGAGCGTATGTATACCGTAGACACAACTGAACAGGATCGAGTTGCTCTATGATGAACGGAAGCACTACAGTGCACAAGACGGCAGAGTCATAGCTGCTCTGAAGACGGCCCTTTTGAATCCTCTGACTTCAGCTTAAAATCTCAGCCACAACAACGTGCTCTACCAGCGTCCTTTTCCAAGACAAGAGCAGCCATTACTGGTTCCAAATTCTACATATAAAATCAGAAGTAGCACGGGCTCTGTCCTGAACGGACAGTGCCTCTTTGCTCTTCCTACGTCTTGCAACTAAAAAGCGACTCCCCTTTCCACACGGAACGACAAGCTCAACTAGAAGCTCAGGGTTTCTTTAGGGACAGCAGCTGGGTTCTCAAACTGTTTATAACTGGTTTCCAAACAACATTTCTTCAGGAATTTAGCAATGCTCTTGGCTACCCAGATGGCAGTAAAACGGAAGTTATTTCCCACTGAAAAAAAGAAACAGAAGTAGAATTCTGGAAAGTTTAAATGATGGAAAAACAGTCACAGGGCAGCAGTTAAGCAGGATTTTGTTGAGGTTTTATTTTTTTTTGTTGTTTTGGAAAATCCACTCACAAAAATAAGCTGCTCAAAAAAATGGAAAATGAAAGCTTCTGGAACAAAGGAACCAAGTCATCCCACACACAAAGAACCAGCCTGGGGCCAATAAAGAACCCAGAAGACCTGGACTGTTTCAGGCTGACCCCCTCCTCCCTGCTTGAAACCACAAACACATTCTTTCCTCTGAGACTCTTTCACTACTCAACCTTGCTGTGCAGATCACTTCGATATCAATGGATACGAAGTGCTAGCGGCACATCAGAGCCCACGCGTTCAGTACATCAGGGTCTGTATAGAAACGCAACGCCCTCCTGGCTGGGCGCACGCTGCGTCCACGGGCACAAAGCCATTCATGTATGCAGGACCGGCTCTGCGCTGCAAATCAAACGGGGCCAGCCTTGTTTCGACTCAGTGAGCTGAAGCATCAAAGTTTAGATCTTTTCCTTTTGGGACTTGCTGGAAACAAGCAGCACCCGTCGCACCAGACACCACAGCACCAGTTAGATACAGAGAGTCGGCACCAACTCGTAACAGGTTGATGGAGACTGGTAAAGGCAAGGTGAAAAGGAGCTTCAAGTGGAAGAAGTTCCGGATGATGTAGAACTAGTCTGACATTTTCCTTTTAGGCCAAAGGGTGGTGTATTTAAAAAGAAACGGGAGGCAACAAGACCCAGAGATTTGCCACCAAACCCTTCTGGTTTGTATTTCCCATGGAAATGAGTCATAAGAAGAATGAGGTCCACTCCCACTGCATGAAGCAATAAGGCACATTCGGCTGACAAGAACCAAGATAAACAGGTTCGTACCACGTCCCCAGCTAGAACGGTCCTGAGCTCGAACTGAACCTCAGTTGGAACGTAACTTGTTCCCAATCCTGTTCGCATACCCAGAAAACGTACAGCCGACTAATCAAAGTACAGCACCATGTCCAGCCATTGCCCCGCGACAAAGAGGTCAAGAGTCATGCTGTCCTTCCGACAGCCTGCCTCCAGAAGCATGGTTTTCAGTGGTGTGCTTCTGGACACGTTTGCTTTCTAGCAGCACAGCTAACCCCAGCAGGGCCTCAGTAGCAACAGCTAGGACAGTGGAGAATGAAAGAGCCTATTTAGGTCTGAGGGCCAGAATCAGCTACTGGGTGTGGAGCGGCCAGTTCCGCTGCAAGAAAGGCAGTATTGTTTCCCTGAGATTACTGAACGAAAGAAAACAAAACAGAAAACCTCCGTCCCTTCCTGTCAGATTCCATATTGGAAAGAAATAAAAGTTTATTCAATCTGCCAAAACAGGCAGTTCCTGATAGAAACATAGGACAATTCACCATTACATGCATCGCATTTTTTAGGAACCCCCAAGGAGGTGCAGGGTTTTTGGATGTAGCCGTGTTGGTCTAAAGACACAGGCAGGCCAGGGTCTTTGGGTCTATGAGACTATGTGATCTCTTTTATTAGACCAGCTGAGCAGCTGGAACAAAGTTCTTTGCAAGCTTTCAGGCACAAGTACCCTTCTTCAAGGAGGTGAAGACATATCTACCTAAACGCTGCCACATGACAAAAAGCGGCTCAGAAGCCTCATTTAGAAACAGCAACATTTCATTACAGCACTAGACCTTCAAAGGCTGGGGCCACCGTGGAAGAGGTTTAGGAGCATACCAGCCACCGTAGTTACAAGGAACAAGAGAGACTATAACACGTAATATCATAGCAAAAGTAATTATACAAGCAGCAGGGTAAGCCCTTTGGCAAGACAGAGAGGCCAACGGTTAGCGTATAATCCTTTACAAACAGAAAAACAGTAGAGCTGGTGCTGTGCCCAGAGAGAAAGTGCAGAAGAAACCACATAATAGCGTGACTGAAGATCACTTTGGTCCTGCTTCCTTTCCTCCTGCACAGACAGCTTTCTTCCATCTCCCTGCTGCCAGAGAGGACTTTTGTTTCCCAAGATTTCTAGAATTTTGCTGCTACTTAAACATTTACAACCCACATTTCCAAGCAGCATATTTTCCTGGAAAAGGATGCATATGGCAGAGCTCTTCCAAATCAAAGGGTGTAAGGTCTCTGACAGGGCTGAATCCAGGGCACTACGCTGAATGAACTAGGGCACGAGGCCACTGAAAAATTCATCAGTTCGAAAGGTCACCAGGCTGTTACCTTAACTGCCTCATTCATTTAGCTGTAATTTAGTTCCTGAATCATTGACTAAGCGTCTAAATATTGACTCTGGCCTTGTGAATGTTTTCATATTAAACAAGAAAGCACCGAGCATGAACGAAGCAGCGGTGATTATACAAACCCACGCCACCATTGTGCACAGGAGCCAACTTTTAATCTGCTGGCCGGGGGCCTAAAATGATGCCCCCCCAACCTCCGGACAGCATGGCTGGAGCAGAGCTGAGCAGAGCCCTTTGACGGTGCAGGGGGTGGATGTAGGCACTTGGCGCTCCAGGCCCCCAGGAGCCCTGTGCCAACCATGCTGCCATGGCGAGGTGACCCCTGTCTGCCCAGCAGCAGTGGAGGTCACAACTCCATGCCACCACCCCTGCTTTTGCTGGGTGGGCAGGGGGCACCTTGCCATGGCAGTGTAGAGCTCCCAAGGGGAAGCCAGTAGGGCAGGAAGCCCTGACCCCACAGCAGGCAGCCCACATCCACCTCCGTCCTGTGCACAAAACTGAGGGGCATGTGCCCCCCCCATGCCCACCTCTCCAGCAGCCCCTTCTCTACCCCTGAACGAGCTGCCTGTGATTCTCTCCCACTCCCTGCCTTGGCCCCAATGCAGTGGGGTCTGGCTGGGCAGTGCCCTGAGGCCTGGCCCCTGCCCCACTCCCTTCCTCACTGTGGGGGCCACAATCTGCCCCCCACCTCACTTCCCCCACAGACTTACCTGCAGGCAGCTGGGGGAGCTGCTCTCCACAGCTGCCTGGGCCTGTATTCCAGCCATGAGCTTGTGTGCACGCACATACATGCACGTGGTGCCCCTGGCATCCCGCTCCCTGCAGACTGGAACTCTGCCAGCCTGCAAGGTGAAACCCACCGTTTCCCGCATTTTACCACGGTGAACGGAAAGCCAGGATCCCAGCACAATACTGGGAATCTAGAATAAATGCTGTGGTGGAGTTGTGCAGCCCAGGATTGGGACTTTATGTTCCCAGAATGGGAACGTCTCAGTTCTGCCCAGTTAGGGGCGAGTGGTCACCCTACCCTCTTCCCAAGAGGGGCCAGGGCCCTCGGGCCCCCACGTACTTGGTGCCTATTCCGTTGTCACATATGGGGAACATTAGGCTTCAGGAAACTGCTTGAACCATAACCAACGAGAAAAACAATTATACCAAGTTTGTTCCAATTTCATCAGCAGCTTTTGGGAAAAGTCCAGTTCAGCTTGATCTACAGTGACTCAAAACAGGGAGAGTGATGTGAAATGGCCAAATTCTGGGAATTAAGTGACCTCAGTCCAGAGAGTCAGCAATTTTTCCAGTGCAAAATATTTCAAGTTAGACGCTCCTAAGTCTGAACTCTGAGTTCTCCAAACATCTTTGCCATTCTGTCGTCATACCTCTGAACACAGGCTTGGGCATGAACTTCAGTTCACTGGCCCATGTGAACTTCCAAGTTTACTACACCCACTTCCCCAATCAAATGTACACACACTTGTTATTCTATAATTCTGCAACAGGTGACAGTGCAGAATGCCCGTGTTGTCTTGGTGTGCTATTGCTCCACCACGAACACACCCCTAGAGTGCTCTCTTTTACAAGTTTTCTGCATTCCATAAATAAACCAAAAAAACCCAGTTGAGATAATCTCAATCTACTTCTGCTTCTAATTGTAGCTTACTCTTTCGAGGGAAGATCTCATCTGCCCAAACAGAGCTGGCTTAACATGCCATGCTTAATTGGCTGTACAGCACAAGATTGTAGCTCCTCCTGGTGGGGACCAGAAATAACTGAATCATATTTAAGTCTGACTTCTCCAAAAGGGATATCTATGTGCATGAGCTTAAAACAGCATCTGACAAGATTAAAGAAACAGCAGTGTAGAATTTCACATTCCTTCATTATCAACTTGATAAAAATATCAGAATTAAACAGCTGCCCAAGTCTTTTATAGCTTGCTTCTGAATATCACAAGGCAGTTCAGCATTTCCCATAAATGTATTTTATGTCTCCAAGATGCAGTGAAAGGCCAGTCCTGGAAGCTAAGAAGTTAAACTCACTAAGAAGATCCTTTTAGAGATCCTCATGTGAAGAGAAAATTCAGAACAGTGCTAATTCAGGATTTTTTAAGCAGGCTGCCCTCCATAATCCACATGGACCAGAGTGACTTGAGAATAAACAATCTCTAAACTGAGAAAATCAACCGCAACAGCTGTACTCACTCCTTAATGTTCAGAGTGAAAGGCATAAAGCCTCTGTTCAAAATTATCTGAGGACAAACTGGGAGCAATACTCCTTGATTCAATAATGAGGTAGACATGTCTACAGCATGCCAAGTCCCATGTAGGTAAAAGAGCGGTCCAAAGCCAGAAGAGACTTCTTTAATGTCTTTCCACATTCTCTACCAACGTTTCAGTTTTTTAGAAGTAAAAGTGAAGATGTCACATAGAATCATTTACCTGGATAATGTCTGAAAGTTTATGCAATCCAGATGTGTTGATAAATATCCCAGTACCTACAGAGGACAGCATGTTATTATTAAAATACCATCTAATGCCAAAATATAAATTAATCGAGCAGATTTCCATGACTGTTTGGGGTGCAAAAACTGAAGCATAACAGGATTTCAGCATTTTGTTCAGTTTCCAACATGCACTTAGAAGCAGCCTTCATGCCACTTGTATTTACTTGTAATCAGTCCCAAACATACTATGGAGCTCTTTTAAAGTAGAAGCCTGGAGTTTTGGAAACGGACAATTAGCCAGGACTTCTCTAGGGAACTTTATGCCACCTCACTTGGTTGAATACTAAGTCATCTGGACCACGACCCATGGAGTACCATTGCCTAATTAAGGTAACAGAACTGTACTGCAAATGCAGGTATCCCGTCATCTTGCGTGACTTTGTCAACTAGGCAAGTAGGTGGGCATTCAAGGCTGCTAACTGAGAATCAGCTCGACCATTTTTTGAAGAGGTGTAAAAGCAATTAGTCAAATCTTTTTCTTGCAGAAGGACAAGAGAAGAACAAACCTATCAATCAAAGAAGTTAAGAGACTAAAGCAGAAGTGTGTTAGTCACTCAGGAAAAGAGCAAAGTGAGAGCAGCTTTTCATTTTTCCTATATCGTAACTCAAGGATAGCCATCATCAGGTCAAGAAGCTCCACTCACGCTTGCTCTTGTTTTGGCTGTCTGGAGAACAACGCACTTAAAGCACGTGCATTTGTGCACACTCAGCTTTTGTACCAAGTGCTATGTCAGAAATAAGGTTCGCCATCAAAGTGGACATGAAAACACACAGCCCAATAACAGCAATGAAATCTGTGTTAACCTTAATGGTATGCTACACTTCCAACTGGCAGTATTTTGGTTTTTTATAACTCCAGAGGTATGGGCACAGTAAGTCCAGCTTTGTTCAAAGTTCCCATTTTCCTTTTGTTCCAAAATTATGCAGGCTCCTGTTTATTTGCAACTGAGGGAAACTACTATCAGGTATTACCCACAGAACTGAGCAATGTACTAAATGCAGTGACAATCTTATACTTACGGCCTGATAGAAACTGTAAAATCTGTTCCAGTGACTCCAAGAGAGACGATTTTGTCTGGAAAGTAATCTGGGCCTCTGCAAACAGATCAAAGATGTAGCTGCAAATTCAGAGAGAAAAGCACAAGTGGGCAAAACTTGCAAATAACCATTTATTACTCCAAAAGAATAAGACTTTTCCCTCCTAGTAGTTCACTGTATTCCCTTCTCCAGGGTGTGTGGGGTTAACAAAGTATGAAAAACAAAAAACTCTACTGCAAAATTATGTCAGCATATTTTGGCTTGAAAGCTCATTTACTCTGAAAAACACATCATGTACAAACGCTTTCCACGATGAATGTAACTGCAAGCGTAGCAAAACCTCTGCAACTTTTCAGCCGAGTCAAAGCCGGGGGACAGCTCACTTGTATCACTCCAAATCACCGAATAGTCACAGCGGATCAACTGCTGCGTGCTCTACAGAAGTAGTTCCCTCTTAACACAAAAAGTGCACGGTTGTCCACACCCAAAGACCTTCTTCAGGTTCAGCATACCACAATGTACATACATGCACACACCCTCTATGCAGGGGTTTGCAGACTGTTATCTTACTGTTTTTATACAAGCTGTGGCTCCAGTTTATAATAGGCATCAGTGCTCCCTGCCATTAGTAAACAGTGAAAGGCTAGCACAGCAAACTGAATCAGAGTAGGAGAATACTGGAGAGTCCATCACATACTAAACCACCTGCTATCCTTCCAGCCTTCTACAAGATACCGGAGGCATGGTGGTAAGTCATTTCGGGTCAAATTTGACACGTGCCATGTTTCCTATCGTCTAATATTGACTGTTCTTTGGATTTAAAATAGTCAACTACTTAATCAACATGGAAGCAAATAAGTAAAATAAGGAACATTTCTGAGACCTCATCAAAAATACTCCATGTTCGTAGCAGCAGTTAATTATAAAAACCATGTCCGGAGCCAGAGCAACATAACTAATGTTAAAAACAGCTAACTTTTTTGGCACACTTCTTGCTATTCACTCAGCTGGAGGTTTCTATTTAAAAGCATGGAGTTACTTTCAAGAGGCTTTTTGGAGGGGTTGCTCACAACCCAGATCTTCACTGGGCTGGAAATTCCCTCTCCCTCTAACATACTAATAAAGAATAGCAATCTTGGAATGAAAATCTCCGAGCGGCACCTACCTCCCTTCCTTAGTGACACCCTTTTCATTGCCTGGCAGCTCCACAGCATCGATAGCATTTTCCAGCTGGAGAAGAATCTCTGCAATGCAACCAAGACAGAAAACAGTAATACAGTTCCCAGAATCGAAACATTTAGACCCCATCTAAACCCCGCTTGTAAATGCCTGCAGTTACGAAGATTGTCACCTAGCTCCAGTTCCAGAATCCAAGCTTCTGTAACCAGTCTGGGATTGCAAAACAGATTAAATATAAATGCTTCAATTCCACTTTTAGTGATTTCAACCAGTCAGCTTCTAAACCTTCACACTGCTGACATGTTTATCCTCTCTTGTGCTTATACGCCACCAAAGGACTTAATGACCGTTTACTAACTGAACCTTACAGCAACCCCAAGGAATTTAATAATCAAGTGTGGCTCTCCATTTCGCAACTGGAAAGACTGAGGTTAAAATTAGACAAATATGGGGAAACGCTCTATAAAAGACACAGCAAAGCTCGTGAAATGCCGATTACGAAATCTGTGTAAAGCAGGAGAACACATGTCCATGTGTTCCCCTGCATACACAAGGGGCTCTGGCCTTTATTGGACTGAGGTAGTAAAAGAAATGTTAATAAATGCAAAACAAACATCTTCCCTATCACTGACTCTCACGGGTGGGCTACCTCTGCATCTCTGGCTCAGTAAGGGCTCTTCAGTTCAGTGAGTAGGACACTTTCTCCGTGTACCTGAGCCCAGGAGATGAAAGTTATGGAACCATAAACATGTACATGCTTTAAGGTGGCTAGTCAACAACTACAGAGGAAAGAATGGTTTTCATCAGTGGATTTCAAAATGCTTTATATCTAGATCCCCATTTTCCAGATGGGGAAAACAAGGCACAGAAAGGTAAAGTGACTTGGCCAAGGTCACCCAGCAAGCAATGGCAGAGCCAGAAAGAGAACCTACCTGCGCTCTACCTACAAGGCAGCATTCTCATTCCAATCTTTAAACCAAAGGCATCCAGTGACACAGCAAACTGAGCTTTTAAGTGCCACATTGCTCTGTGACGCTCTAAAATACCTTTGCTGAGCTGCCGCTTCTTAGTGAGAAAGTATTGTGCTAAAATGAGAGCCTAACGAAGAGGCAAAAATAATAACATTAACAGCTCAACCTAACGGATGAAATATTGGCAGCACGCCTAAATAATTGTTATGATTAATTTGAAATTGTAGGGTCGAACTATGGAAGTACACATTTAGTTTGTAACAATAATGTTTTAAATCCCTAATTGAGAAGAATTTTGTGTGTAGCTGCAGGCTACGTGGCATATCAGTCTGGTAATGGGGGAAACCTGATGCTTTCTGGCTCGCCAAGTTAAAGATTTCCATTTTTATTTTTCCACTCTACAATCCCAGATTACACATCTCAGCTTCCTTCCACTACCACGCAAGAATACAAGCAACCTGAATGGATTGATTAACCTGCTTCCTTTATATGCTGGGGAAGTGTCCTAAAACCAAGGTGCTTTGGAATCAAAAGTTTGCTCCATGATTGCCAGTTCTTTTCTATCCCCACCACATGATCTTTTTGCAAGGGATGAAAATGTTTCTGATTAAAAGGGCAGACTCTTGACCACAAACTGTTGCTGGCTAGTAAAACTCATTACAGCAAAATGGCAAAATGAATGCACTGCCAAACAAGTGATGGATTACAAATCAGGAACACCCCAGCAACTGAAAAAAATGAATAACCAGCTAAATAAACCTTTACGCTTTACTGAAGCATGCTCAGTATTCAAAAGAATGAGACACGTCATTGATATGGTCTGGTTTAAGATGCAGTAAGGCTCAGACAGGAACAAGCAAAGGATGCAGGAGTGTCAATTGACATAGTCTTGATTCATGCCCTGATTAAGCTTGGCACGGACAGAGAGCCACAATATGAACCTTCTCAAATGATTTCAGGGAAACGTACTTAAGTGATAAAGTAACTACAAGCGTGGGCAATAAGACCCTTTGGGATATAAGAAGAAGAATGTTAGGAACTGAATGGAGTTACATCTGCACAAATCCACTGTAACTACTATAAAATTAAAACAAGGTAAAAAGCATACTTCAGTACTAGCCAATACCAACTGTAGTGTTTTGTATTCCTAGGGGTTCCGATATTTATATATTACATAAGTGATGAGTACGTAGAACAACTAGATATTGGAGGTGCAGGGGTTAATTCCTGAAGGAGAGGCTGGGGGACAGAGTTAGATGGAAAATTCATTAATGACTGGCTGCCTTACCTGAGCCCAGAGCTCCAGATCTCTTCGTGACAACTGTGGACACTAGATACTTAACTTTGTCTTTTTCTCCCTTTTCTCTTATCTGTGATTGTTGGTGATTTTGGTTTGTTTTCACTCATGACAACTTTGTACATTGCCCTCAGTGTGTCAGTGCCTCCATACCCCATTTAACTAACCTCAAGCCAAAGCAGAACTGGGGAAACCTACCCAAATCTCAGTGGTGCAATTCATTCTTAAAATACAGCTGTACACATGGTCAAATTTTCTAATGAAAATGGAAAAGCTTTCCCCTCTAATGAATGGAAAGTTGTCAAAGGAAGAGCTGGGTGTTCTTGATTAAAAAATCATCACCCAGAGCATTCTTGGCTACTCTCTCAATAGCAAGTCTGTTAAGATAAAAGAAATAAAGAATGGAACTTACTCTTTATCTTTGCTATATCTTCAAGCTCCATGCTCAAACCTGGTGAAGAAGGGAAAGCAATTCAATCCTAACTGCCCAAGGATGAATAAATGTTCTACTGTTCCTTATCTTAATCCCAATTTTTTCAGCCAGTATGTTTTAGTTCTCCAAGCGAGACAAGGCTTGCCTACTGCCTTTAGCCTTCAAGAGCTGTAGTATCTATAAAGCCAGAGTTCGTATGAGTGTATCTTGAGTGTTCTACTAATTCTTTCTTTTAAGCGTCATCACTGTTAAGGAAACTCATCTGTTATCCAGATTCTACTGTCCAGGGACTAATTAAGGGAAAACAAGAATTATTTTCCAAATTTGTTGCCAGTGACAGCCCCTGTGAACCACTGGCTCGTAGCTGCCGACTAACCTGAGCTGGTCACCTCCATATTGAATTCAGCATTGATTTCATTCTGTTGAACTACTTTAGCTTGTTCTTCCAGTACTAAATTTATAGCATCCATAGCTGAAGCCAGGTCATAGGGAGTCAAGTCAAATGAAGATGATTCTTCACACAACTTCTCCTGGGACATCGATGAAATGAAAGGAAAAAAGTATTAATTTGGCTTGCTTTGGTGTCTTTTATGTGTTGGCTATTTCCCAGGCTATTTAGTTCCTCCTGGCCTTTGATTAATTAATCTAACCTCCTGCATAATTCAGACAAGCAGATTCCCCCAAAATAATTTCTAACTGAAGAAATGCATTTACATAATCCTCCAGTCCTGATTTAAAGATCCCCAGTGATGGAGAATCCACAACAACTCTTGATGGCAAAACGTTCTAAAAATTAAATGTCCTGGCTGTTTAAAGCAGGAGTTGGTAAGTCCTGGCATGTATGCCAGAGCATGGCACGCAAAGGCAGTTTGCTTGGCACGTGTGCCTCAGGGAAGAAGCTGGGGCTGTGCTGCCACAACAAAGATTGGGCCCCTCGCAGCTCTCCCACCATCCACCCCAAGGTGCGCCTGCCCAGAGCCTGAGCCAGGTGTGGCGGGCAGTCGGGAGGCTGCGCTGGGGTCCATGGAGCCCCGACCCAGCTCATTGCCGGTGGCAGGTGCACACGCACCTCAGAGCAGATGGCAAGGAAGGGGGCAGGGCTGCACTGCCACAACAAGGATCGGGCCCTTCACAGCTCTCCCACCATCTCCCCTGGCACGCCAACATCTTTCAAGTCGAGGTTGGGATGTTTTTGGCATTCTACTCAAAAATGTTGCTGACCCCTGGTTTAAAGGCTGCACATAGGAACATCAGTTTGTCAAGCTTCAGCTTCTGGTGACTGCAAACCTGTACAACTTGCCCAATTTAGATGGAAGATACTACTCCCTATTTGATTTTGCTCCCAATCCTAGTGGGAACCATTTATCAGTTTTCTATTTCCTTTTCAGATACTTCAAAACCCTCAAATTCACCCCTTAACTTACTTTTTGATATACGTTATACAATATACAAGCAGCGATCACACTTGTGCCCAATACAAGATAATATAACTAACCTCCCTACTCTTGCTTGTACACCCCTATTTGTACAACCAAAGATCATAGTCACTCTTTTGGGCCCAGCACTGCACTGGGAGTTCAGGTTCAATGGATTCTCCACCAAGACCCCCAAGTCCTCCTCCGAGTCGCTGCTTGCCAGGCCCGAATTCCCCATCCCATCTTCAGTCACCTCAACCACGCTCCATAAGAAATGGATTTGGGATTATATACACTTTCCAGCAGAAAAAGGGTAAATCCCACCTTCTACCAGCAAATGCAATGCTCCTGCTAGTGTTGCTTCAGGAAATCCTGACTAACAAAGGATAAAGTTGTGCAACAAACTCTTGGATAGTAAATGAAGTGTGCTGCCACCCACAATCCTACTCAAGGGACTCTACAGCACTTAACAAAGGGATTTCAGGTAGGTCTATAATACCTGTCACTGAGCCCAGGCCGCTTAGTAGCCTATATGTTCACTGGGCTTAATCACTGGTTTGAAAAGTCCATCCTGCAGTTTCACCGTGTAGGTTCTGAAAGCTTTCATCTGCACTAGTGGTCTTTCTGTTCTGTATCCAATGCACTTTGCACAAAGGACAGGATTTACAGTGCTTTACTGATTGTATCTTTATTGCACAATGTTAAAAAATGGAGATTTCATCTCTTCTAGAAATATGAAACCCAATTAGTAGCAGATTGGGAGCAATATTAGACTCCTGGCATCCTACTGATCATACTACTATAAATGAAAGGTGAAGAATGAATTACCGTGGATACAAGCTTATAGAATACAACACAACTGCTTTAGTCTTAGTATTCATGCACATTTAAAGACAGATGAAACCCCATGCATGCCTACTAACCAGCTACCTAAACTATCACAGCAACAGCTGAAATAATTTACAACAGCTTTTGCAGAGATCTAATACTAAGACAAACGCTGGGTGTTTTGTTTGTGTGAGGTTGGAGAAACGAGAGATGAAATAACTTACCACATTGTGAGCTTCATCCAGAATTACCACAGTCCCCCTGAGATCTAAATTGTGTGATCTCCGGGTCTAAATGGTTTTAGAAAAAACGGGAAAGAAGGGGCAAGGGTGAGACAGCAATAACAACATAAAAGGACAGGCTGTAGAACTGGATCATGAGGGTTTGTTTATTCTCTATGGAGTAGAGAATTATCGGGTGATTAAATTGTGCATCTTCTTCCCTTCAAGTAGACATTAAAAAGTCATCAGAAAGCAAGTAAAGAGCAAGGCCTTATGTATGTCAGTCGATATTATAAAGCCATTTTATATAAAAGAGACAGTCTGTCTCACGTAGCAGGTTGGAGTCTAAGTAAAGCAAAGGGCATGTCTGTACTGCTCTGGAATCTGGATTGGTGGTCCGTTAGCCTCTGGGTGGAGTTATGGTTTGATTAGGGCCATTAAATCCTAAACAGCCAAAGAGTTGCCTACCTAAAATACTGCCTCTTCATTGACTCCAAACCATCACAGCTGCAATGAGGCGAAGGTAATCAAGCTGGAATCCTTTCAATATAAAAATGCAACTGGCCAGGCATTCTTCGAGAGGGGTTCAGAGATCTGAACATTTCTATCCATCTTGGCCTAAAACAACTTAATTCGCTGACCTCTGGAGCATGCTGTAAGAGGCAGGATTTTTTAGCAGGGCTGAGGACATACCTCCCAGGATGATAAAAAGGTAGAAAAGGAGTCATCCCAGAGGTGTCTGGTTGGCCCAAATTCCTGTCTGATTGATAGGATAAAGCTGCTGGGGTTATGTTTAATATTAATCAAGTGTTAAGATATCTTGGAATCTATCTTTCTTTCTTTCTTTCTACTATTTATAGCTAAATAAGTATCACACATATCATAGATCAGTTTCTGTTTGATCATCATGCAGCACTTCATCAGACAGTTATTTCAAAATGTGCTATAAACGGCTAAAAGACTGAAAGGATGTCGTTTAGTTTCTGTTATGAAGTATTCTATATATTCCGCTTTCAAAACAAGTATCACTTATATGATGATGTCCAGGCATTTATTTTTCCAATACAAACCTCAGGGGTCTTATTTTTACATGTGAAACACAGAGTACCCTCTTAATGCAGCCTGAAGAGGCTAAGCAATATTTCAAAGGCACACTGCATTCCCAGTCAGTCAAGACTCCAGCCGCCTAGAGAGCTGACAACAGCAACAAAATCAGGGTTCTCCAGAATGTATGCGAGACAAATTCTGGCTAGCAGCAGACTGAAGGCATGAATTAAAGGAAATTAAAATATTCAAACCCACCAGGTACCAAAAGGGATGTTTGTGTTCTTCAGGGTAAACTTTTCTGAATGCAACTGAGCTGTTGTTAAAAACCATACACACATACTCCTGAACAACAGGGTGGGGAGAAGCCGTCCAAGGTTCTTGGTTAAATAAGGTTGATGCAGTGCATGCAGAATTTTGATTCATATTTAAATGTATCACACAAGGAGTTTCCTTGTTTTGCACTTGTTGGCAGATCTACTAAAAGCTGATAAAATAGCATTTACACTTAAAAAGACAAAGATGTTACCTTTGACTCCAATAAATAGTTGTACGGCATAAATATAATATCAGCTTGCTGCTTCAGGCTCCGAGATAAATAATAAGGGCAAGCTCTGTTTAAAAATAAGTAAATAAATATGAACCATAAAACAATACCCATAGAAAGACTAAAGCACTCCCCCTTCATTTATTATGTTTCAGGCTCTCAAGCCTTCCTAATCAGCTTCTTAATGGACTGGAACTGACCCATTAGATCTTAAAGCAGATAGCCTGTTCCATCCACGTGTGCCCAGGGTTCAGTAAAAGGAATATCAGAAATAATATCCACGTGACCAGTGCAACAAAACAGAGTAAGATACAGAAGGGGAGAAAAGCTAATACACTAATGTTTTGCCTCCGTAGGCCAATTTTCACATGATGGGTTAGATCATTAAATCTCTGGTAGCAAGGGGTTTAGAGGTGTCATATGCCTTAGAAAACCACTGTATAGTTTGACACAATTACCAGGCTCTGCTTACGAAAGACCTGTCTTACTCCTATGCCTGACCCTGCTCTGTGTTTGGCCTCTGCGATGCATCGTGACCGAAATGCACCCTTCTATCCCAGCAAAACTCGACTGGCAGGAGGCACGAGTGCAAAGATGCACTTGCTGGAAACTGTTTGCACAACATATGCCTCCACTCTGCCTGGCTCATCCCTGCTGTTAATCTGTTCCTTTTGTAAGAACTTGGCACATGTGAATCTAGCACTAAAAAAAGATTTCCCCAAAGCAGAAGTAAAAGGAACAGAAAGGAACATTTACCTGTGCTTGTTTCCCTTTTTAACCAAGTCCTCGATATCCATGATGGAGTCTGTCAGTTCCATCTCTGTACTCTTTTCTGCAAGGACAGAAAGAATAGTTGCATTTACAGGAAATAGCTAAATAAATGCATCCCGTGAGAGCCCTGTGTTTCCCTTCACACTTACTGGCTTCAATCAATAACTCTAGCCTTGACTGCCTGGGCTGAAACTAGAGCTTGACGCTATTTTTTGTGCCGTACCCATAAGCACACTGCGCTATGGCTGCACCAGTGCTAACAGTGCTGCAGCTACAGACAAATAAGCAGCGAGAAACATACTGAAAGTTTAAGCCATTTGCTGAATTGTTTCAGTGCAGTGATGGCTTTGAAAGAAGGGAAAAGAAAACGGGAAAAGAAAAGGACTGCTGCCCTCTCCATGTGAACAGCAGACATTTTAAACTGCATTAGGAATACAATGGAAGGGCTCAGCTCCCAGCTCCCATTCTAGATGGGCAGAAACAGTATAACTAAATACAGATGGATAATGAAAGGCCAGAGACTCTCAGGAGCAGAACAATATCTAACTATACCCAAATACTGAGCAGTGCACAAACTAATAAACTGTCTTAGTACTGCTTCCCCTCTCAAACTCAAATCACAAAAGGAATAAGCGGTCAGGTGTTTATTTAAGGCTGAGGCTGTGTCAGCAAATCTTCATGATATGTTTCCAACTTCCAGGAATGGATTGCTTGGACAACACACTGCATTGCTAAAACTTTGCTAGAAACAAGAGACTTCTCTTTTTCAAAAGAAATAAGTTCACTGGTATAATATTTTGCCAGGAGATGGGAACCTCTATGCCGTGCAGTGACCTCCTGGGGAGGGCCTACATCATGAAAGGCAGGGTCCCTGCTGTCAGAACTGCCCGACAAACGGTGCTGGTTTCTGGCAGATGCTCTGACCCGTGGGTGGTTGAAATGACAGCCAAAATGCTGGAAGCAGAATTGAGAGCCAAAGTTCTGCAGCACTCGGGCAAAGCATTATCCCATTTAATGGCTGGGATGGATAATCTTATTTCTGTAACTCTATTATTCCCCAAACAACCTGCTTCTCCTCTATCATCATCTGAACAGCAGCAACAGAAGCCTGTCAAGCAAGCCACGAGAAAAGCCCATTTTCCCTAACAGCATTCACAATGCCAAGTCAGGTATTCATTTTTCATAGAGGAGCCAGGCCTTCATTTGCTGCTGTTTGATTTTTTTCAGCCCACAGGGAGACTTGCATGCATTTCCTGTTGAGAGCACTTATTTAGCCACAATACCACTGTATACGCACAGGACTAGCTATTCCAAAACAATTAAAACTGAGTTTTACCTATGGAATACCTTTGCTCCAAAAATCTCAATATGCTTTATAATCAGTAACTCACTGCTCATGTGAAACAGGTTGCTTCCTATTTTACAAAGAAGGATGCTTTAAGTCAGGGACGATGCAACCTTAAGAAGTGGGCTGGACTAGAGGACCTCATGAGGTCCCTACTTTCTTATGACCCTATGAAATTGAGCTATAAGGAAATTACATAGTGGAATTATATAAGGGAAGTATACATCCATGGCATAGGTAGGAACAGCCCTTGGCTTGTAGATACACAATGCCGTCAAGACAATGCTTCCTCCCCATCCATACCACACATCAAATTGGCAAGGACTTCAGATAAGCAACTCGATCTCCAGTTTTATTAGGAAGTCCAAATAACTATCATATTTATTTCCTAAATATTTATTGTTCCACCTGCCTTGAAGTGGACCCAAGATTTTCAGAACAGATTAAAAGGCTGCATTGAAGTACTGTAGATTCGGCAGCTGCACTTGTCTTTTGCTGAAAGCTAGTCTATAAACTGTCAATGGGGTTCAAATATAAATATCCCTATACCTCTTGCATTTACATCATGTACAAGGATTCTCTTTCTTTTGTGATGAGTATCATCACTATGAAGAGTCAGACACAGGCACAGCGTATGTATGGAAAAGTCTGGCACTGAAAATTGTAGACCTGAAAACAAGGGTAAAAATGCAGCACTCCAAACCACATCTCCTGGAAATGAACACGAATTATAGTAGCAAACCAGGTCTTCTGCTCGTAACATGCCTTTTGGTACCGATATACCCCGGGGCAAGAGAGAAGGAAGCTCACAGAGATGGCGGGCACTGGAGAGGTAGACCATGTTCAGCAATTCTGCAGCAACTACGAGTTGATCAGGGAGGGGAAGGCTGGAGCCCAGTGCCAGAGAACAGACACCACAAGGGCTGGGTTGCATTAGTAGAACTGCAAGTCTGCATTTAAAATCAAGTGCAAGCTCTCTATAAAAGGATGACTTATACATGCTCACTTCTGCCACTGCCTGCTTCCCGGTGTTGAACATGGCTAGTAAAATACAGACGCAGAATGCTGGAGGTAAATTAGCAAACCATACGAAACTGTGAGCTGAGAGGAAGGTTATTACTACAAATATAGCTGGGACAGGTCTGTTCTCATCTCAGCTGGATTCCAGGTTGCAGAGATTTAACACTAAACTACCAGTTTCTCTGAATGAGAAAGAGAAGCCTCAAGCGGAGAACAGACAGCTTACCAGCACTCACAAGACCACTTCATTTCTTACCTTTAACTAGAGGTACAACAGGGAGAAAGGAATAAACACCCAAGCAATCCATGTCTGACAGGACGAGTCTGTGCCTGGACAGATTAAATCTACCTTTCTGTCGCGGAATGCCTTTCTGGCAGTTAAAGGATCCACCACTTCAGCAGCGTGCTGGTTGAACCCAAACCAAAGCAAACCATTCACAGGGTATGTCAGGAATAAGACCTAGACAGCATACATGTTCTGACTGATCATTTCATGCTCCAGTCAGTCACTTTAGCCTCCATCTGAGACGTGCTCTCCTTTTCAGACTGAATCATTTTTAGTGAATAAAATGTTATCTACTGCTAGCATGCTACCCCAAACAGAATTCTCCTCCGTTCTGGTATTCACACAGCAATACTTCTGCTTTCCCACACTGGACCTGACAGCTGACCTTTCCAGCCTCAGTGAGAAGATAGATTTTTAAGGGGGTTTTTTTCAGTCAATACAAATGCATTCCAAATTCATGACAGCAAATTCTATTTTCCTTCCAGTAATCAGCTGCTAGAATAATATGCTGGCTTACAACTTTAAACTTGGCTAGAAGCCCATCATAGAAGCTGAAACATAATTAACCCAAAGGACCCTTTTTTCTCTTTAGATGACAACACACCATTTTCTATGCTTTCAAAAATTATTGTCTCAACCCACAGTCCTACCAGGAAACTGCTGATGGATATTTGAGGCTCTCAATACCCCGTAAGGCATCTGCTGCAAAAAAACCTTGCATTTTGATTTAAAACATGTTTGTTTCACATGTTCTAGAAATAACTGATTTGCTTCCTACCTCAAGCACAAACTTTAAACCTTGTGAATAAAAGTGAGCGATGAGTGCACAACAGCAACACTTGCATTAGCCAAGGTACTGTGTGTACTTATGGAACCATGCAGGCACTGGTGGTGCAATGGACATTACCTGGCTGTGGCCATTCTTGCTGTGATTTCACTTACAAATCACTCAATTGTTTGTCCCAATTCATGCGCGCTAGTCTGAAAATCTGGATTGCCAAATATCTGCAAGTGTATTATAAAATATTTTCCTTGTTAAATCAGAACCTACATCTCCAGTTTCATATCTGAGGTTTTATCCCCTGAATTTTACCAGCTGGTGTCTTCACAATGCAAATGGGTTCACCCTCCAAGGAAGATGGAAGCTTGCCTGTCCATGCTCCATTCTTTGAACAAACTAGAAAAACTTCATTCAAGGGCTAACAATTCACCACCTCTTTGTCCACTCCGTGAGCTAACAAGCCCATTAACAGTAAAATGCATGTGCGTTTGTACACAGGCCGGTGGATTCTGCCATTCGCTGTTAATGGCTCCATCCACCCCCCATCAGTTCCCTCTCCAAAAGCCAGAGCACCATCTTCACAGCCAAACCTACCTTCCACATTGTTGTAAAAATGGCAAGAGCGGGACATCACCTTCATTCGGCACATGTAGATCTGCAAGATAACGTCCATTTTGGTGTCTGGTCAGAGGGAGGCACAAGGTAAATGTCCCACTTCAACACAGGAAGCGCTGGGTTTCTCTGAAGTATTTATGGGCTGTGCATGCCTTCTTACCTGCATGTGATTACTCTCCTGCTTCTTAACTTCAGGGTTGATGCAAAGCTGCTCTCTGGAGCCCAACACACATACCTTTGGCCTGTTCAAACAGAATACACACATAAAAATAGAAGAGGGAGGAAAAAAAAGGCTTTTGTAGGTAGAAGTTACTACTATGTCAAGCATCGCAAACATGAAGCACTGGCTGAGCCACAGGGGCACAGAAAAGAAAGAGCAGTACCAGAACTTCGAGAAGGTCAAGGCTTCCACTGCTAGGTATCTCACTGAGAATGTAATAGTAAAAGTGACAGTAACAACAATCACCACCATAACGTTTGAGAATTTAAGTCATTTTGATGAGATTAGGAGGCAACAAAAACTGTCCCTACAAAATCTGGACCCTGCCAAGATTACACAGCAAGCCCCCACTACACATCATGGACCTAGAAAACCCTCCCTACTGAAACCTATTTCAGAGACAGTAAGACTAGGGCTAACTTACTCTAGCAGTTCTTACTAAAAGCAAGCAATCAAACTGTCCATAGATTTCACAGACATTAGGGCTGGAAGGGACCTCATAAGATCATCAGGTCCAGCCCCCTGCCCATAGATTCATGCCCAAGTCAGCTGGGGTCAAAGGATCCCAGCAAGATAAGCATCCAATGTAAATCTGACTGATTAAATTGCTAAACGCTCTGTTTGCTGCAGAGAACTAAGACGACCTTGGTGTGACACAGATGGAGCTGTCCATACCAGCTTTGCTCTAAACTGCTCTGTTCTGCAACAGCTTTTAGACCTCTTCTTGAAATGTAAAAGAAAAGCCCCATAACCATGGAGTTTCATGAAACAATCCCAGGCAGGCATGCAACCACAACACTGAGAAATCTGAACAAAGCAGACTACACAAAACAAATGAAACATTTTGCTTCAAACCAATTAAGTTTGCAGGGTCTACGGAAAACAAATGTTCTACGACAACTTTGGAAGAAAAGTGAACCAAATAAAACGATGGCTGTGGACCAAGCCTGGGAAATTCTGGCAAAGGAGTGAGGAAAGGAAAAGAAATGAGCACTGCAGACTAAAGGGAGAATGGGCAGGGAGTCAGAGAAGTCTCATTTCTATCCATATCCATTAGGAGAGTGGAACTTCAGCATCATTAGATACATATTTGTCCACCTCAATTCAAATAATCCCTCACATGATTGGGTATCTATCCCTTCACTCTAGCTGAGTTATATTTACCTGTAGACTGTATTCTTTAATTCACTAATGACCTGTGCAAGCTGCGAATGGGTTCTGGAGGCATAAATTATTTTAGGGACATCGGTGTAATAAGCTGCCAAATGGAGAAAAAAAAGCAGAGAAAAACATCATTAGCACTAAACAAGGAAAAACTAAAGATATTATTACTCTCCTTTCCCAGCTGGTGCTATGGTAACAGCTCAACCAATGGAGGCATCAAGCAATTTTACAATCTGACTGTTCACAACCAAATTATGAATTAAGTGGATATTTGAATGCCCCGAGCAAAGTAAAAAGTTACATGAAGAGAGTGAGAAATAATGTTTCTGCTGCTAAACTATGTCCTTGTGGCAGTAATAAGTACCTGGCAAGAACTGAAAATGGAAGACATACTAAGCAACCACTGACGTCCCTTCCTAAAGCCAAACAGCATAAAAAAATCATGGCCCACATTTGGAGCATTTACCTGGGATATCAGCATCTGTGGCAGCACTGCCCCAGGACGCCATGGGTCTGTCAGGAAAGAGCTCCACTCCATCCATGCGCTGTGCAATTTTCCGTGCCGAGATAGTATCCTTAAAATGCTCCCGCCAAGCTAGTGTAGAGCACAGGAGACACAATGTCTTCCCTGTACCTGTGGGGCTCTCCAAAATGCCATTCACCTTCTTTATAGATAAGGAAAACAGTGAGAGAAGCTCAGAGTAACTCAAGGATTCACTGATTACTTGATAGCATAGCATTTTCCTAGAAAAAGAGCATTTGCTTCACTATACTATTCATAGCTGTGTTCAAAGTTATCGTAGTCTCTTATACCACACTCTAGAAACAGATACTTATACACCTGCGAAAGCACATGTATGTGTGTGTGTGTATATATATAGCAAAGTATGTAATAGTAAAAGTAGTATGTGTATATATGTGTGTGTGTGGGTGTGTGTGTGTATACACACCCCCACACACACACCCCTGCAAAACTACCATGTGAAGTGGTACCTGCAGAACTCACAACGCAAGTCAGTAGAACTCAGTTCTAATTCCAGAGCCATGGTCTATTTTATCATTTATTTAGGAGAAGCAGCCTCAGTCAAAATTCAGATCTGAATAAATGAAAACGTGATCAATTTGTGTGATAGGCCAAAACTGAAAATGATTACTGATGGCTACTGATTTCTTAAGCAAGAAGAACACGTATTCCACATTGCAGAATACAACCATACAGTTTAAAATGGAGGTGAACCTGTCTCAGTGGTCCCAATTTTAAACATCTCAGGGCAGCATGCATTAGATATTACAGCTTTAAAATGGTCTCACACTGCATTCTACATGGGTTGGGAAGAGTTATACTTGGGTTCACGTTGGTTGGGGCAGCTTATGTCCAAACATAATATTAAGAGATGGCATTTTACATCCTGGGTTCAAATGACATTGTTTTTTTTATTTCTCATAACAGGGGCCAACCGCACAAATAAGCAACCAACCAGCTCAGCAGCTGGGGTGTGATCGCGTGCCGGGCTGTCAGAGAGATCAAACTTTGCTAATGCTTCCCCAGCAGAGCTCAGCTCTTTGTTCCGTCCTACCCACGAACAAGCATCTCGGAGATACTGCCATACACGCTCCAGACAAAGAATAACCTGCATTGTGAAAAGTGTTTCCTTATTTGACATCCTTTCAATACGACTGTCTTAGGGAGCTGCCAAGTAGAGAAAACAGCAATAGGCACAGTTTAAAAAAAAACAAACCCCAAACGACAGATTGCCTGAACATAAGGACGACTTGGTTTTCTTTCCTTTTCCCAAGTTTAGGAGCGAGGCAAAGAGAGGAAAAAAGATCACACTATTTAACTTTCTGCCAATGAATCTAACGCTTTAACATTTCTGGCATTAATTTTTTAGCTGCACACTTAAAATCTGAATCATGAAAAGTCAAGTCTGGTGGAGTGTGAAACGGCACATATAGAACAGGAAAGGGAAAAAGCTTTGTAACTTTTACCAGTAGCTTTACACTGTGACAGGTTCCTTTAACAACTTGCAGACTGGACTGCTCCGAAATCAGAACACCTTCTCAGTACATTTCACTGCTGCTTGCATAGACTGCCATTTGTAATCAGCGCGAGACTTCAACTTCTGCAGTGGGTCACCAGGAAAACAGCTACTCTTTTAATAGAGGCATTTAACTGTTTAGTCCCACTTGACCAGATCAGGTGCAAAGCTGCTCGTGCTAGAAGAAGGCTTCAGATGTTCTATTCGCAGAAACAGATTCAATGACTCATCGATACCGGCGTCGGAAGGGACCTACTGGATCATCGAGTGCGACGTCTGCCCAAGGCAGGAAAGAG